GACATTTATCGGACTATTGATGGTCGATTATGGACAACACCGTGTTGCCCTTAATACGTAATTTTTTCCCCTTTCAAAATAATGAGACTTTCGCTCAAAATAAACGTGCACTTAGGAGAGAGGAATTTCTCACGGTTGCTTTTTCCCACGCACTTCCACATTTGAAAATTCAAATTGCATTTATCCAATACGAGATTGACTAGGACTTGCCACACCATTCCCAATGTACACAATCATTTCGTCAGCATGCTAATGTAGCTTGACATTGTACATTTAACAAATAAAACTACCTTATAACTAAACTAATACCAATGTATACCCTACTTTTATGTGGAAGAAGTATAGTTGGAGGGAAACCCGTGTAAAACCATATTTTATTTGGCGGAAATCCATGAAAACCTTCATTTATTTGGGGGGGGGGCGTGTAAAACATTCTTTTATTTAGTGGAAACACTAAAAACCTTAATTTATTTGCGGGGAAAAACCCATGTAAAACCTTCTTTTGTTTGGCGGAAGCGCATGCACAATCTTATTTTATTTGATGGAAACACTGAAAACGTTAATTTATTTGGAAGGGGGAGAAACCGATGTAACCTTATATTATTTGGTGGAAACCCAGGGAAACCTTAATTTATTTGAGGAAACTCCTTATAATACTTTATTTTATTTGGTAGAAACCCATAAAAACCTTCATCTATTTAGGGGAAACCCATGTAAAACTTTATTTTATTTGGTGGAAATCCATGAAAACCTTCATGTAAAACCTACTTTTATTTGGGGGTGAACTAACATGTATAAAACGTATTTTATAAGAAAGGAAACCGATGTAAAACCATATTTTATTTGGTGGAAACCCGTGTAAAATCTTTTTTTATTTAGGGAATAACGAAAACTAAAACGTTCTTTTGTTTGGTGGAAATATATGTTAAACATGCGTGTATTTATTTGGCGAAAACTCTTGCATCATCTATTTTTATCTGGGGGAGAACGACACTAAAAACCTACTTCTATCTGGTGGTAAACTGACAGGTATAAAACTTATTTTATGTGAAAGGAAACCAATGTGTAACCTATTGATTTGATGGAAACACCGTAAACCTTAATTTATTTGGGGAAACCCCCATTTACCTTACCCATGTAAAACCTTATTTTATTTGGTGGAAATCCAGGAAAACCCTCATTTATTTGGGGGGGGGGGGCAATGCAAAACTTATTTTATTTGGTGGAGACCCATGTATAACCTTGTTTTAATTGAGGTCAACTCCACGTAAAACCTCCTAATATCTGGTGGAAACCCATGTTAGAAATACGGGTATTTGCTGGGAACCATTATATAACCTACTTTTATCTGGAAAAAGCCCAAGTATAACCTACAATTTTTTCTTTTTCTTTTAAAGGAAAATTATGTAAAACCGTCTTTTATTTGCCCATGTATAGCCTACTTGTACTCTATTGATACCGATATATAACTTACTTTTGTTTGGAGGAAACTTCTTTTTATTGTGGAAGAAACAAAACAAAAACATCCTTTTATTTGGGGGAAACCCATGGAAAGCCTTCTTGTACTTTGGGAAACTGATGTATAACCTACTTTTATCTGTAAGGGAGGAACCGGAAATAAATATAAACCTTTGTATAACACTATAACGTATTATTATTACAGGAGGGAACCAATCTAAAACCTACTTTTCTCGACAATAAACTCTTTTAAATAGCCTTTCATCTCTAGAACTCATGTTAAACATTACATTGCCCTCTATTAAACAATTTTGAAGTGAAACATTATCTGCTTATCGGTTTATTTACCGGACGATTAAACCGAGTCCAAGGACTGCCATACATCAAATGACAACACTATTTGAGCGCATTTAATAAGATATAATTTTTTTTTCAAATTGTAGAATAGAATTGATTTTTTGAATGTTAGAGACAAAAAGCAAAATTTTAGAATCAAACGTCTTTAGATAATGAAGGGAAAGGTAACGATGATTATGAAACCTACTTACAATTGTTTATTAATAAATTTGTGAAAAAAGTATTAATTAATTACACACATGTAACTTAGATCTATTTAAAGGAAAACTACTTGAAGGTTACATTAGAGAAAATCCAAATGTAACTCACTTCGTATGTAGGGAGACTCACGTAAAAATTATTTTTCCTTGCGGAAAACCGGACGTAACCTTAATTTATCAGATAAAAACCCTCTGTAACCTCCTTTTATGTGGGGGGAACTTAATGTAACCTCGTTTTATATGGGGAAAAACTCAATTTAAATTTAATTTATTTGCTAAAAATTCAATATAACCTTATCAAATCTGGGGAAATCCAAATTTAATCTTCTTTGTCTGAGAAAAAATTATTCTAACCTTTTTTGTCATTGAGGAACCCACTATAACCTATTTTTATACGATAAAAACATAATCTGGCCTTATTTTATAAGGAGAAAACACAATTCAACCTTAGTTATATGAGAAAAATTAATTTAACCTCATTTTATCATAGAGAAGCCCAAACTAACCTTTGTTTATCGTTAGAAAAAGCCATTGCAACCTTGATTTATATGACACACATTTAATCTAACTTTAGTTTAGCTGGGGGAAATTTCAATTTAATGTTCTTTTTTATGGGAAAACTTAATCTGGCCTTATTTTATATGGAGAAAAGACAATTCAACCTTAGTTCATCTGAGAAAAATTAATTTAACCTCATTTTATCATAGAGAAGCCCAAACTGACCTTTCTTTGTCGTGAGAAAAAGCCTACTAAAAAAGCCTAAAAAGCCTTACAACCTCGTTTTATATGACAAACAATTAGTCTAACCTTATTTTAACTGGGGGAAATTTCAATTTAATTTTCTTTTATAAGAGAAAACTCAATCTAGCCTTTATTTTATCTGGAGAAAGCATAATTTAACCTTAGTTTTTCAAAGAAATATTTAATCTAACCTAATTTATCACAGAGAAGCCCAAACTAAAACTTTCTTTATCGTGACAAAAACCCAATACAACCTTGTTCTATATGACGAACATTTAATCTATTTTAATTGGCGTAAATTTCAACGTAATCTTTTTTTTATGTAAGAAAACTTAATCTGGCCTTATTTTATCTGGAGAAAACACAGTTTAACCGAGTTAATTTGAGAAAAAATAATCTAACCTTATTTTAACTGGGTAAAAATTAATTTAACTTTTTTATATGAGAAAACGTAATCTAACCTTGTTTTATATGAGAAACATAACCTGATTTTAACTGGGGGGAAATCTCAATTTCAGCTTCTTTTATATTGGAAAAACTAATCTAATCACATTTTATCAATGGAAAACCAAAACTAAGCTTCCTTTATCGTGAGAAAAACCCAATACTACTTTTTTTTGTATGGTAAAAATTTAATCTAACCTAATTTATCACAGAGACGCGAAAACTAACCTTTCTTTATCGTGAGAAAAACCCAATACAACCTTGTTTTATATGACAAACATTTAATCTATCCTTATTTTAATCGGCGTAAGTTTCAATGTAATCTTCTTTTATATGAGAAAACTTAATCTGGCCTTATTTTATCTGGTGAAAACATAGTTTAACCGAGTTAATTGGAGAAAAATTAATCTAACCTTATTTTAACTGGGTAAAAATTAATTTAACTTTCTTTATATGAGAAAACTTAATCTAACCTTGTTTTATATGAGAAACATAACCTTATTTTAACTGGGGGGAAATCTCAATTTCAGCTTCTTTTATATTGGAAAAACTAATCTAATCACATTTTATCAATGAAAAACCAAAACTAACCTTCCTTTATCGTGAGAAAAACCCAATAATACTTTTTTTTGTATGACAAAAATTTAATCTAACCTCATTTTAACTGGGGCAGTTTCCATTTAATCTTCTTTGATATGGGAAAAACTAATCTAACCACATTTTATCAATGAAAAACCAAAACTAACCTTCCTTTATCGTGAGAAAAACCCAATACTGCTTTTTTTTGTATGACAAAAATTTAATCTAACCTTATTTTAACTGGGGCAATTTCAATTTAATCTTCTTTTATATGAGAAAACTCAATGTAGCCTTTATTTTACCTGGAGAAAGCATAATTTAACCTTAGTTAATCCTAGAAAAAATTAATCTAACCTTATTTTAACTGGGTAAAAATTACTTTAATTTTTTATATGGGAAAACTTAATCTAACCACATTTTATCAATGAAAAACCCAAACTACCCTTATTTGATCGTGAAAAAACCAATTAAACTTTCTTTTACATGATAAAAAATTAAAATAAACTTTCATTTAAATTTAAAACAATTTAAACTCATTGTAGCCTTTTTTTATATGGGACAACCCAGAAAAAGTACTATATGAGGAAAGTAAAAATTTAAATTTAATTTTTATTCGGTTGACATGGGTAGAACCTGCCCTATCGGTGTAGGTAAAAAAAGGTTACTAGTTAATAATAAGAACACATACAAAAATAATTTATTTTTGTAAGAAAATCCGTTAAAATTTGAACAATTACGAAAAAGTAATGAATTATTTCTATAAAAAATGTAACTATTTTTGGTGAGCAAAGAAAAATTTATTTTTATTTCCGGACAACCGGATGTAACCTTCTCTTTCACCTGGGGAAAACCAAAGTATAACCTGTTTTTTGTTTACTGGAAACACGGTGTAACCTTTTATCGAGGGAAACCAACGTAAAACCTATACTTATAATAATTTTTTTTATACAACAGTGTTAAGTAAGTAAACTCATATTCGAAAAAGTGCTTTATGGTTAAATAAAAGAGATTGGAAACATTTCATCGTGAAAACTGGTTTTAAACGTGACCTACGTGGGTTGCATGCTTTGGGGTCAAAACTTCAAAATACCGACGAATGAAATTATGCTAGAAAATGGGATGGGCTCCTTCGTAATATTAATAATAATTGTACTGTGTGCATGCATTGAAAATTGATGATTTTCTCATGCAATTTTTTTTAATGGGTAAAATTCCTCTTACTTCTGACGGTGGGAAGTCGTAGCACTCCGCGATCTTCTGGTATAGTTCTTTGACGTTGGAGAAACCGGAGATGATCCCGGTCGGGCTGCCCTGGGCCTGCTGGCAGTGGAAGACCAACCTCGGCCTGTTGTTCCCCTGTTCTTCGGCTTCTTCAGCCTCCTCCTTCCTCTTGGCCCTCTTCGAGTCGTTCATCTGCGACCTTCTGAACAGTGGCATCCCGATGCTAAACTCATCTATAAACGGGAGATCGGCACGTCCTCGCTCCAGCCACTGTCACTGGACAACTGACGTTTCCAGTCACGCCTTACAACTTCCAACCGGTCCTAATTGACACCTACCTCGACAACGCTATCTCTGGCCTTCGAGGGCAAACCGTCCAGAACGCCCTCTCCTAGCTCGTCTCAATACTAAAAACCTTCAACTTTCAGAAACTTACAGTTTTTTTACTTTGTAAAAACTTTCATGAACTTTTTTAACTCGTTCACAACTCTCAACTAATATAATAAATCGATTTCAATGTTTCGACGTTCCAGCCTCATCAGCTGTCCAGTATACCTTGTTATATACGGAGTAAACTCAATGTATATTGCGGGAAAATTTTATATAACCTTCTTTTATATGGAGTAAATCCACTGTAACCCTATTTTAACTGGGGAAAATTAAATCTAACCTTCTTTTATACGGACTAAACTCAATGCAACCTTATTTTGTCTGGGGAAAATTTAATTTAACCTTCTTTTATATGGGGTAAACTCAACCTACACTTTCTTTTATATGGAGTAAATTCGAGGTAACGTTATTTTTAACTGGAGAAATTTAATCCGACCTTCTTTTATATGGGGTAAACCCAATGCAACTTTTTTTTTATCTGGGGAAAATTTAATCTAACCTTTTATATGGGGCAAACTTAATCTAAACCTTTTTTTATACGTAGTAAAATCAATGCAATCTTTTTTTATCTGCGGAAAAATTTAAACTAACCTTCTTTTATATAGGGTAAACCCAATGCAAGCCTTCTTTTATATGGGGTAAACCCATGCAACCTTATTTTTATCTGGGGAAAATTTATCTAACCTTTTTTTATATGGGGCAAACCTAATCTAAACCGTTTTTTATTCGGAGTAAAATCAACGTAACCTTATTTTTATCTGGAGAAATTTAATATGACCTTGTTTTATATGGGGTAAACCCAATGCACATTTTTTTTATTTGGGGAAAATTTAATCTAATCTTTTATATGGGGCAAACTTAATCTAAACCTTTTTTTGTACGGAGTAAAATCAATGCAATCTTTTTTATCTGGGGAAAAATTTAATCTAACCTTCTTTTATATAGGGTAAACCTAATGTAAACCTTCTTTTATATGGGGTAAACCAAATGCAACCTTATTTTTATCTAGGGGAAATTTATCTAACCTTCTTTTATATGGGGTCAACCTAATCTAAACCTTTTTTTAAATGGAGCAAAATCAATGTAACCTTAATTTTATTTGGAGAAATTTAATCTGACCTTCTTTTGAATGGGGTAAACCTAATGCAACCTTATTTTTATCTGGGGAAAATTTAATCTAACCTTCTTTTATATGGGGCAAACCTAATCTAAACCTTTTTTTATACGGAGTAAAATCAATGTAACCTTATTTTTTCTGGAGAAATTTATTCTGACCTTCTTTTATATGTGGTAAACCCAATGCAACCTTTTTTTTTATCTGGGGAAAATTTAATCTAACCTTCTTTTATATGGGGTAAACCTTCTTTTATACGGACTATACCCAATGTATCCTTATTTTTATCTGGGAAAAATTTAATCTAACCTTCTTTTATATGGGGTAAACGCAACGTAAACTTTCTTTTATACGGAGTTAAATCAATGTAATCTTTTTTTATCTGGGGGAAAGTTTAGTCTGACCTTCTTTTTTCTGGCGTAAACCCAATGTAACATTCTTTTTTTCTGGTGGGAAACCAATGTAATCTTATTTTATGTGAGGGAATACCCAATGTAAATAGCTTTTACCTGAAGCAAACCCAATGCAACCTTCTTTTAACAAGGAATTCTGAATTTAACCATGTTTTATCTGGAGAAACCGAGGGTAATATCAGGATTGAAGGTCCTCATGGAAGCTCCTGGGGTAAGAAGTGTAAAGATTAGGTTCGACAGCTCATGCTCCCACAAGACCTTTTAGAAGCATACATTTTAAGTATTGGTTTGGCACCTAATTTACGCTGACTGGGAGTGGTAACGGAGAGTTTGGTTGTGGTTATTCATCTTTTGTGGTAGTTCCTGGTAGACTCCTAATTCTTTAATCTCCACCAAACAATCCTACTTCAGAAGCTTTTCCTGGTACTAATAATCACTAACCTCATCTAACGCCATATCAAAAACCTCTTTCCTGGATTCCACTATCCTGACACCAACCTATCATTCTCTAACCTCTACCAACCATTCTTAACAGACACTCCTGTAAGATCCTGCTGTCCTGATACGAACGGTCCCTATTCTCTTCCAAATCCTTAACCTTCCCGACAAGGTTCTAAGAACCTGATACGACCTAGTCTTTCTCCTTCTAACCCCAGGAGCTCCCATGAAGTCCTACGATCCTACAACCCAACCTTTCTCTTTCTAACCTTTCGTACCCCATGCGCTCTCATGTCGTACAATCGTGTTAACCTACACCCAACGGTCTCTATTCTCTTTTAAACACCTGGAAAAGTCCTGTGGATATACTTTATAATTGGACTAGAATTCGTCTTGAATATTGGTGAACTTTTACAAGAAAAAAATATTGTGCTCAGTGCATGGTTAACCGTCAAAAATCAGATTAGACGCAGTCTCGGTTTAAAATTAAATTTAACCTCTGTCTTAATTTAATTTTGCCATTACAATTAAAGGCATGGGAAATTTATACATTTTCATTTTACTTGTTTCTGTTAATTTTTTCGGTAAATGTAAATTTAAAATTTTTTTGAAGTGTATTTTTTTATTTTAGATATTTTATAGTGGAAGGTTCATTTGGTGCTTATTTGTCAGATAAGGATAAGGTAGATTATAAATTATTTATTAATGAATTGATATTTTTTTAATCAGTGGATTCTTAGGCCGTGGAAAATGACAAAAGAAGATTGGAGAAGTTGGTCGACGAGAGGGATTTGTTGGTCAAGGTCTACCACGATTGCGTTTTGGACTTTAAACACAAAGAAAAGGAACAATTAAAAACTACAATCCAGAATTACTTTTATGAGTTGAAAAATGACATAATAAATACACTGGTATGTGTGGGAAAATTATGAAAGGATTAAAAAAAAATGTTTTTTTTTTTGGTTTGTTTATGGGGTAGTTTTTGTATCCTCATCCGGACTATGGTCTCGTCAGCGGGCTTTATGACTTTTTAGTACGGGAAAAGTCCGAGACGGCCGAGGAGGCTTTCACCAAGTACGAAGCCCTTTTGGACCTAATCCGGACAAATCTGGAGTCAGAGACAGTAGACGATTTGAGCACGATGTACTGGAAGAGGGTGGAAAAGTTTCTCACGGACCCTTTCGACTTTTTAGGTCGGTAAAACAAAACCAAATTTTGACCGGTTATACTTTACCATTTACTTATTTTTTTTAATTTAATTTTTAAACTTAATTTAACCTTGTTGTATTTGGACGAAACCAATGAAAATCGTATTTATTTGGGTAAGAAACAAAACTAAAGCCTTTTTTATCAGGGGAAACTTAATCTAACCTTATTTTATTTGGGGTAAACTCAAATATAACATTTTTTATTTGGGTAAGAAATGAAACTAAGACGTTTTTTTATCAGGGGAATTCTTAATATAACCTTCTTTTATCTGGAGTAAACGCAATATAACCTTTTTTATTTTGCGGAAGGAACGAAACTAAAACCTTTTTTATCAGGGGAAATCTAACCTTCTTTTATCTGGGGTAAGCTCAATATAACCTTTCTTTATCGGGGGAAAACCATTGGAAACCGTCATTTGTTTGGGGAAGAATCCAAACGAAAACCTTTTTGACCAGGGGAAAACTTAAACTAACCTTCTTTTATCTGGGGTAAACTTACTNAATATAACTTATTTTTTTATTTGGGAAAGAAACGAAACTAAAACCTTTTTTATCAGGAGAAAACTTAATCTAACCTTCTTTTATCTGGGGTCAACTCAATATAAACTTCTTTTATCTTGGCGTTAACTCAATATAACCTTTCTTTATGAGCGGAAAACCGTCTTTTAGTTGGGGAAGAAACCAATCGAAAACCTTTTTTTTATCAGGGAAAAATAATCTAACGTTCTTTTGTGTGGAGTAAACTCAATATAATCTTTTTTATTTGGGCAAGAAACGAAATTGAAACGGTTTTTTATCAGAGGAAAACTTAATCTTATCTTCTATTTAGAGTAAACTCAATATAACTAGCGTTAACTTAATAGTACCTTTCTTTATCTGGGGAAAACCATTGAGAAACCTTCTTTTATTTGGGGAAGAAGTAAAACCAAAATCTTATTTATCAGGTTAAAACATAAACTAACCTTCTTTTTTTTACCAGGGGGGCAATGTAACCTTATTTTATCTGGGGGTAAACTCATTATAACCGTCTTTTATTTGAGAATAAACAAACCTAAAACCGTTTTTTATCAGAGGAAAACTCAATATAACCTTCTTTTATCCGTGCAAAACTTTATCTAGGGAGAAACATTATCTAACTTTTTTTTTCATTTTTAAAATATTCCAGGCAAGTTGTCTAATGTTACAAACGCAATGGTGTATGGATATTCGCCTTCCGTGATACCCAGGCAGGTCTGTTTTGCATCTTTTTTCCCGCCCTTCTTCAAATATTAAAAAAAATTGAAATTTGCAATACAGCCGAATATATGCATTAAAACTTTTATCAAGCATCTGATCACAAAAGGACGCATGGTGATGGAACATTATCAAAACTGCGCGATTTATTTTGAAAAGGGCCAGGAGAAAAGAGTCCAAAGCCTTGCCCAGAAATTGGACAGGTTCAAGGCCGACCTTCACGAAAGCATATTGACCGTAAGTAAATACAAAAAAATCAAATTCCTTACATTTTCTTTCATGATCGATTCGGCAGGACGATGAAGACGGCGTGTATTTCGCCGAACGGGTCATAACTTTATCTTTGAACCAGATTATAACGGCAGGTTTCTATTCAATGACCGTAGATTACGGTTTTCTCTACCTCGTCATACACGACTATCTGCACGATGTTGCGAACGATACCCACACCGTCAGCCAATTTTGGAGAGCTGCTATCAAGTTTTTGAACGGGCCGTTCGAGTTTTCAGGTAAATTCGTGGAAATTAATCAGCTCTTGTTCAGTTAGTACGAGGACAGCAGGATGTTACAGGAGCTTCTGAGGTGAGCATAGTTGGTAGAGGTTAAAAAAATCTAGATTGGTATTAGGACAGTAGGACCTTATAAGGAGGTTTTTAATTAAGGATTTTAGTTAGAGTCGTTAGTACTAGGAAGGTTTGATCATCATGGTGGTAGAACCTTGTGAGAGGTAGCTAGCTGGTAAGGACCTTATGGTAGTACCTGAAGGTAGAGGTTAAAGATGCCTACTAACCTAACCTCCCGTAACTTCTACTAACAAACCACTCTTACGACGGATACGCTTATACGATAAGATACGGATAACTTCAAACTAAAATCTTTCGCTAACCATTTTACCTCAGGCGTTATAAGAACCTACCATCATACAGACCTATCCTTCCTATCCTCACCAATCATTTCTAACACGAGAGATATTGGTCGTACAGTCTTGGTACCTAACCTTTACTTACCGTTTTTACCTCAGACGTTCTATAAGACCCCTACGAACCTGAAACAACTTGCTCTAAGTAACCTCCCCAACCATCAAGTTACCAACCTAAATTTCCCCTGGCCATTTTAACTTAAAAGCTCCCCTACCACCCAACTAACCTGCCCTCCCATAACCTCACCAGTTATTAGTAACACAGGAGCCTCTATATGGCCTTACCGTATATAGGTCAAGAGCTTTTTGAACTTCTACCGTCCTAATACTAAGTCCCATAAGGCACTTCTAACCTGATACAAAACTACATTCTGTAACCTCCACCAATCATCTTCATATCGACCTAAATTTCCCCTGGCCATTTTAGCTTAAAAGCGCCTGTACCACCCTACTAACCTGCTTTCCCTTAACCTCACCAGCTATTGCTAACACAGGAGCCTCTATATTCTGTCCTAATACCAAGTTCCACATAAGGCACTACCAACCTGATACAAATCTGCACTTCTGCATCTTCCACTAACCATCTCGATTCCAGACTAAATTCCCCCGCCATTTTACCTTAAAAGCTCCCCTACCACCCAACTAAACTGCCTTTCCGTAACCTCCTAACCGTCGATACCGACCAAACGTTCTCACAATTTTGCTTCAGACGCTGCTATGAGGCTACACACTAGGAAAGTAACCCCCGTAACCTCCCAAACAACCCTTATGACCGATGTAGACCCTGCGGTCTTCATACCAACTTATCTTCCCCCACCTTTTTACCTCAGACGATCCTATAAGAACCTACCACCTTACTATTCTGCTCTCTTGTAACCATACCAATTACTAACACAGGAGCCTCTGTACGGTCTTGCCGACTATACATCAAGAGCTCTTTGAAATTCTACCGTCCTTATACCAATCTACAATCTGTAACCTCCATCTTTTATTTTTATCTCAGAACCTCCTTTAATGTCGTACTAAGTCTAACCTGCCGTTTTTACCTCAGAAGTACTATAAGACACTACCAACCTGATACAAACTTACATTTCTGTATCCTCCTTCAGCCATTTCTATACCGGATTAACTTCCCCCGCCATTTTACCTAAAAAGATACCACCCTACCTTTATTTCCGTAACCTCCCCAACCATCTCGATAGCGAATTAACTTTCCCCCAACCTTTAACCTCAGATGCTCCTATAAAACTCCACACAATTACCATACCCTCCCGTAACCTCCTCTAACCTTGTCTAACCTAACCTAAACCGGGTCGGTACAACCCGGTGACGCTTTTTTTTCTACTCTTATATTTTTTATATTTTGTTTATTTATTTTATCCAGCCCTGCTTGCATCTTTGTAATATTGTATAATAATTATTTTTTTAATATAAATATTTTCAGGTCCTCGCCTTAAGTCTGAAAACGTGTCAAGGGAGGTAACAAAAGAAAAGTGGATATTTTCTAATATGAGATTTTCACAAGTTTTTTTGGTGTTAAATTTTGGATTTAGATTGGTCAATGTTTGAAAATCAATATGGAACATATGTTGGAGAAGAGACAAAAACTGCCCACGCCTTACCACACATGCGCCGTAGAATTGGACGTTAAGAAACGAAAATTGATGTTGGACAAAATCAAAGAAAACATGGATAATTTAAAGAACCTAATGGATAAAATGGTATTTAGTGGTTTTTTTCCTAGGGTAAAACGACCTGAATTGAATTTTTTTGGTCTTGAAAGCGCTTTGAGGATAATAAACGCGACAGGGTTCTTCTGGATTTCTTTAACATTTACGTCTTCAATATGCCCGCGAAGAATTTAAAAGAGGGTTTCAAGAAGTACGAAAACGTGATGAATTTCTTCTTCAACACTCTTACCTGGACGGAGGAAAGACTGGACGAACTGGACACGAAGTATTGGTCGAGAGTGACAAATTTTTTCAACGGGCCTTCCATCTTCTCAGGTCAGTTTATGCCAGAATATCCAGCAGGCTTTGGAGGAGCTCTGATGTCCCGGGGCTTCTTTAACCTCTATCAAAACTTCTTACTTCAGGAGCTCCTATAAGGTTCTAACATCCTAATACCACTCTTGGTAAACTTACGTGCCCACGCCATTCTTCATTTTTGAGATCCTAACATCCTGATACCAACGATCTCTAACCTCTTCTAACTCCGTAACTAACAACCTCCTTCTAATGTCCCGATACCGCTCTATCCTTCATTAACCTCAACCAAACATTCTTACTTCAGAATCACCTCCAAAATCCTGCCTTTCTAATACAAGCAGTATCTAACGTCCTTGAAAGACGTAATATCCTGATACCAATCTGGGCTTCCTTCATCTCTATCAACCATTCTTACTTCACCTATAAAATCCTGCCCTCCTAATACAAGAGGTGTATAACCTCTTCTGTTTAACTAAAACTCACCCTACAAGATCATAATATCCTGATACCACTTTAGCCTTCCTTAACCTCTAACTATTCTAACTTCAGAAGCTCCTACAAAATCCTGCCTTACTAATACAAGCGGTATCTAAAAACTCTTCTAACATCTTAACTAAAAACCTCCGTCCATGATCCTACTATACTGATACCAATCATCCTTCTTTAATGTCTACTAATCATTCGTAATTTACAAGCTCCTATAAGATCCTGCCATTGTGATACTAACGATCTCTAACCTCTTCTAATTCCTTAACTAAAAACCTCCTTGCAAGACCTGATACCAATCTATCCTTCTTTAACCTCAACCAAGCATTCGTGCATCAGAATCACCTCCAAAATCCTTCTTTTCTAATTCAAGCGGTATCTAAACTCTTCTAACTTCTTAACTAAAAACTCTACGAACCATTTGTAGTTTACAAGCCTCTGTAAAATCATGACATCCTGATACTGACGATATCATACCTTTTGTAACTGTTTAACTAAAACCCACCATACAAGATCCTACTATCCTGATACTAATTTAGCCTTCCTTAACCTCTACCATTCCTCTACCTAACCATTCTTACTTCAGAAGCTCCTATGTTCTCACCTAGGATCTATAACCTATTCTAACTCCTTAACTAAAAACCTCTTTGCAAGATCAAATATCCTGATAACAATCTATCTTTTTACATCCACCAACCATTTTTACTTTAAAAGCTCCTGTAAGTTCCTGACATCCTGATACTAACGATCTCTAACCTCTTATAATTTCTTAACTAAAAACCACCTACCAAGACCTAATATCCTGATACCAATCAGGCCTGCCTAAACCTATACCAAACATTCTTACTTCAGATGCTCCTATAAGGTTCTAACATCCTGATACCACCCTTGGTAAATTTACGTGCCCACGCCATTCTTCAGTTATGAGATCCTGACATCCTGATACTAACGATGTCAAAGTTCTTTTAACTTAACTAAAACTCCTTACGCCCTACGATCCTGATACCAATCTAGCCTTCAACAATTTGTGGTGGCCACCTGCACGGTACCCGCTAGGTGTCAATGCCAGATCTTGAATGTTCTCGTTCTCCACTCTGCAGCCACTCAGAGTAGATTTCCTACATAGAGCACTGCCCCACTGACTTCAGGCTCGTCCCCCCGACGAGTTCTCACTGCATACCTTCAGTCTTGAGACTCTTCTCCTGACGAGTTCTCAACAATCACTAATGGATCACCGAGGACGACAGCAAGGGGCAGCCTTAGCCTCGAACTCACTTTCTCAGCACAGCCAACTTGGATACTGGCCAAGCTGCCGGGTACCTGCTGCATCAGAGTCCAGTCAACTGCTCAACCGACTCACTGTATCCACAGCCCCGGTCCACTACCAGCGGCATAGTGCCCGGCCTCATCCATCATCTCTACACCACAAAACAACACCGGCCCTGAGAAGCACCAAAAATCCCAGTCACTAAAACATTTCAACGAACCTCTAATCTTCTCAGGCCTGTTTAAAAAGCCGTTTAGTATGAGGATAACAGGCTCTTCCGCAGTCTCCTTTGTATATGAATTTCTAACAATATTGTAATTTTAATTTACCATCTTTCACAGGAATAATATCTAACGAAACGGAAAAAGCTTTAAGTGACGTATCGGCGAATATGGCAGACATAAAACAAGAAGTAAAACTGACTACATTATTATTATTATTTATAGTATAAATACAAATCTTACAGATTACAGGTAATTTAAAAAATGATTTTCTCAACCAGCTCATGGATCGTATGAGAATGATTCGAACCTATCACATCTGCGGTGACGAATTTACCGTCGAGACGAGGATGAAGCTCACCCATGCGATCGCTGACGAGCTGAAGTCTTTGAAAAACGACATGGACGAAATGGTTGTCTTTTTTTTTTTAAATAATAATTTTTTGAACTTCTTCAAATAAACTTTTTTGTAGTATTTGAGTGAGAAAAAGTCGAACGGTTATCTAATACAGGACCTGTACTCGAGGGTCTGGCCGATGTGGACGCATTCGGACAAGGGGTTCCAAGCAGCTTTCGAAGTGTATCATCAGCTCTTGAACTCCTTCATGTCCTCTTTGAAGAATGGTTTCGATGAACCGTCCCAACTTCGGAAGGACTTTTGGAAGAGGATAATGCAATTTGTCAAAATGCCGGTTTTATGACGAAAAGTTCAACGTGGACTCAACGTCAAGACGTCGGGACCCTTGGCAATTTGTAATTTAAAGTGATAAAGAAATAAAACGCCTCACATTATCATAATTTCACTGATCTCAGATAATTTGTACAGGCTACAACCATGAAGGAGGTGATGTGTAATCAAGATTGATTGACAGGTAGGTAAATAGTAAATGTTAGGAATGTTGGCCTTGTAACAGGACGACAGGAGTATAAAGGAGGTACTGAGATTGGTGGTAGATGTTAGGGAATACTATCGAGCTATCAGGATTGTTGATGTTTAGGTTATTTTCCTTTTCTCCACCACAGTAACCCTAACCAACCACCAACTCTAACCATCCCTAACCTAACCAACCCTACAGTGGAGAAGTATACATGCTTCCATTACATGTTTACATGTTCTGCATAATGATATTGAAATATGCTTGCTCATAATAAGTTAAAGAATTTTTTAAAGTTTTCTTGAATGCTATTCGTTTATGTTGCTTCATTTTGGGGCCATACGTTTCCCCGGGGTGGAACATCTATTTATTAATGGCATAATGGCATCCTCTAGGTGTCACGGCCAGTTTTGGAATGGTTTCACCCTCCACTCTGCAGCCAGTCATAGTGGCATTGCTCTCACTGATTTCAGACTCGTCACCCTGACGAGGTCTCAACACCTGCTAGGTGTCACCACATCAGGAATGACTTTGCCCTCCACTCCGTAGCCAAACAGCATGAAGCAATTCCATACATCAGCAGTGGTCTGTCCCGCTGACTTCAGACTCGTCTCCTCGACGAGATCTCACTGCACACCTTGAGTCCTGAGATTCATCTATTCGACGAGATCTTACCTTGCATCTTGAGACTCGTCTCCCCGAGTGGTTCTCACCAGTCGCTAATGGAACACGGACAACGACAGGAAGGGTACTCGCACCATTAGCCTCGACCTCTTCTTCTCAACACAGCCGACTCGGCTACCTGCTGCACAGACTGCTGCAGAGTGATTGACTCATTGTATCCACGGCCCCGGATCTCAGCCAACGGCACTCTCGGTCACGGACCTCTACCAACGGCACACATATAGCAACACGGTCCCGGCCGCATCCATCATCTATACCGGCCCTTGTCAGGATCACCAAAACTCCCAGTCACTAAAGTCTTAAACAAACGGAACATAAACGACACGTTTCTATCATATCTAACCTTCTTTTCTTGAGGTATCAGGTATGCTTGGTGGTTTCAACACTCTTAGCCCGGACACATCAGGTACTTCTGGTTTAGTAAAGCCTGGTGGCCCGCAACCTCTATCCCGGAAAACCAGGTTCGCCTGGTGGTCTGTTTGCACCAACTCTCATTTGGAGAAGCCGCAGTAAGCTAAACCATTTCCATCTTTCTTCTACCATTTGTAACCTTTACCTGAGGCACCAGGTATGCCTCCTGGTGGTTTCAACACACCTAATTGGGAGACACCAGGTAATCTGATCTAGTAAACCTCCTAGCCTGGAGTGGCCCGGTACGCTTGGTCGTTCTAACCCTCATAGTCCGGAGGCACTCGATACGTAGATGACCTGCTTGCTCTAACCCTCCTTCAGGAAGAGCACCCTTTGCTATTTCTACTTTTCTTCAACCATCTTTAACTTTCTTTACCTGAGGCACCAGGTATGCTTGGCCGTTTCAACACTCCTAGCCCGGAGATACCCGGTATGCCTGACCTGGTAAACCTCCTAGTCTGGAGAGACCCGGTACACCTGGTCGTTTCAACCCTTCTGTGCTGGACCTGATGTGGTCTAGTAAACCCGTAGGCCGGAGCCACCCGATAACCTGGTGACCTGGTTGCTGTGACCTTCCTTCAGGAAGAGGTTCAGTATGCTTTGCCATTTCTACCTTTCTTCTATCATCTGTAACTTTCTTTACCTGAGGCACCAGTACGTTCGGTGGTTTCAACACTCCTACCCCGGACCCACCAGATACGGTCGTTCCAACTCTCCTAGCATTTTGAAACCCGATACGCAGATGATCTGACCTTACCCGGTTACTATTTGTAACCTTCTTTACCTGAGGCACCAAGAAAGTCTGGTGGTTTCAACATTCCTAACCCGGGGGGCACCAGGTACACATATAACCTTCCTTATCTTCCAACCATTCTCATATCCGGTGCTTCTTTAAGTACCTACACTTCTTATATAACTTATTTTAATTATTTATTAAACAGCTTTGATTTACATGTCAGGACGGAAACACAAAGGCCCATTTCTTCTCATTCCCACACGGGTCAAATCGGTACTGGATTGACGAACTCCATTATCCTTTTCCAACATTTAGTCTCGAAGTACGACCGTTTGAAGGTAGGACTTTTCACCGTGCCGCTTAGGTAGGTCAGGAACCATTTGTACATCTGAGCAACGTGCACTGGGTCCTTCTTCGACTCAGTCCACTTAGGCCAATAGTTCTTGTTGAGGTATTCGATGAGCGATTTGAACCCCTGGCAATTCTAAGCAAAAAAAATTGTTTCTATTTGATTAAAAAGAAGAAGAAGAATATAAGAAACCATTTCATCCATGTCTGATTTTAAAGAATCGAGCTGGTGTGGAAGATAATCAGATTTAGGACCGGAATGGAGCATTCGTCCAATCTCTCCAATACGGTCCGTTATCTTCTTGAGAAAACGATTCTTAAATTCGTCTTCGATCTGAAATTTTATTAACTTTTTTACGGATAAATAAAAAACTGTAACGGATGAATCTGTACGTTTTGACTTTTGACGGTGGAGTTCTCTTTTTGTCCGTCCACATTCTCCTTTCTCTTCAATGTGGTTTCTGTCAGAGAGGCAAAAAAACAATTAGTTTTAACGTTTTTTTTACAATGATCCGTATACACCTGGAAAATTGAAAGGACCCGTGAGAAAAGTCTTCACTTCCATCCAGAAGTTCGTGTCCAGTTCTTCGAGAGGCTCGCCTGTCATCATCTTGGCGAAGTGGTTCACCGTGAAGAGGTACCTCTCGACGCTTATTGACTCTTCGGTGGAAATCAACGGCACGTGGTTGTCTATGAACTCGTTTAGGATCTTCATCCATGGCTGATCCTTCAAAACAACTTGTAACTATATTTTTCCTGTCCAAAAAGCCTATTTATTATCTGTGTTTTTGCGTCAAAATTTACCCTGAAAGTTTCGATTTGGTGCTTCAAACTGTTCAATTTCTTCGGGTCGAACTCGACGGCACAGGTCTTATACTGTAAGGCAGCCTTCTTCCTCTTTTGTATCAATGAAATCATATTGAATTTGAGACATGTCGCTATCTAAACCTCGAATAACCTTTTAGAAGGAAAAAAAATAAAATTCGGCCTTGTTTTACCTCTCGATCGATGTTGTATAACTCGAAGTGATGACCTGCACATGTTTAATCATTGATATTTATATGGATATCTTAAGTAACATTCTAAAACCTCCATCTCACCACACTAGTACAAGCCTAACCTGCGGTAACACATACCAGCTATTCATCCATCGAAATTCTTTGATTATACCAATATAACCATCTGTAACCTCCTTCTAAGCGCACTGGTATAAACCTAACCTTCAATAACCCTTACCAGCAATTCATCCATCGAGTTCTTTGATTATACCAATATAACCATCTGTAACCTCCTTCTAAGCACACTGGTACAAACCTAACCTTCAATAACCCTTACCAGCTATTCATCCATCGAGTTTCTTTGATTATACCAATATAACCATCTGTAACTTCCTTCTAAGCACACTGGTATAAACCTAACCTTTAATAACACTTACCAGCAATTCATCCATCGAGTTTCTTTGATTATACAAATATAACCATCTGTAACCTCCTTCTAAGCACACTGGATTAAACCTAACCTTCAATAACCGTTACCAGCAATTCATCCATCGAGTTTCTTTGATTACACCAATATCCGTAACCTCCATCTAACCACACTGATATTAGACTAACCTTAGTACCCTTTATCAGCTATTCATCCCTCGAGGTTCTTTGATTATAACAATACAACCATCCGTAACCTACATCTAACCACCTGATACTACCCTAACCTCCGGTCCTCCCCAATTAATCTTTCCATAGAAGCTACCTTACCTTACCTTACCTTTAACCTACTCCCCGGTAAACATATTAATCAATCTCGCTACGTCCATCTAGCTAATACTAACCTACCCTTCCGTAACCTCCCCCGACCTTTCTGACCACAGAGTTGCCTTGTTGTTAACAACCTAATGAGCACCAATCCTTTTCTAATAATCTATAAACCTTGCCCGTTATTACATGCTATACCTAAAAATCCCAACGGTTGGTTCAGAAACTTCATCACACGTCTCCAATATTGGGTGTCGAGGTGGCTATCATTTTTCACGTCGTAATGAATATTTTCTCGGAATACTATGTATAGAAATTCGTGGCTGCCGATCGCTGTGACCATGTCTTTGCCTTTCAGGCCGTCTATGTAGGTCGCGAGGTGTTCAGCGTGAAACCGGCTATTTTCGTCTTTCTGTAAAACGTTTACGAATATAGAACCTGGACGGTTTACACCTAAAATCTTACCATTCGGCTAAGGTCTAGTGCCAGTTTGTTGAAATCGTTCATGATCTTGACGGCTTGTGACTTTTGGCCCTTTTGGGTCAGGTTCAACGCGGATCTGTAGTAGTCCTTGATCACACGTTTGGAGTTTTGGATCAGATCGGCGACGAAAGACTTGACGCAAGTATCGGGCTGTAAAGATAAAACGGTATCTAAAGATTAAACTTCATATTAACATCATAGAATAGAACCGAACCTTCCTCGGTGTCACAACCAGTTTATAACTCGATTCTATTCCTAGAACGTTTTACAAGTTTTTAAAGAAAGACAAGTATAATTTGATATTTGTCAACCTAAAAAATTCAAAGGGTCGGTGACAAAGGTAGCGACTATCTCCAAAAAGGGAGAGCTCAAATCAACGGAGGTGTCACTCTCGACGGTCCTCGCCCAATCGTCAAGCAGTACTTCGTACTTATCGTAAGTCCAGTTTGACATAATATAATCGTACAGGTTTTCCAGTAAGCCCATGTTCGGCACGTAAGTGTCCGAACTCTAAAACGGATTATCTCCATGTCAGTCCTGTTTAACAACTGTCTGTCTATCCAAGTTTTACCAGGTGGTTTTTTATATTCCTTTTCAAATAGTGGATTTCCCGGTCGATCATATTGCTCAACTCTTCCTTGCGAACCCTCACGTCCAACGTGAGGGCGTTGTAGATGTTCACAACCAATTGGCGCACTTTTATCAATCTCAGCAATTCCCTTTTGGCTACCTCACTCTGATAGTTGCCTAACGGAGGTGTCATTAAAAATCCGACTGTAAAATTGCCAGCAATGTATAAACAAGCTCTTAGATCATCTCACTTTAAAACGACATACCTGAACTTTTGACGACGATCGTTATAACCAATATTTGAAAAAATCTCATGTTTCCTGTTTCAAACGCCAACTAACGGTAAGGAAATTCGTATTGTTTTGCGGATCTAAACGGTGAATTTAATTTCAAACAGTTATTACACGCCTCTAACGCGATTACCTTTCAGGACTTTAGAATCTTGTAGGAGCTTCTTCTTTTATTATGGTTTAATAGAGCTAGTCGAGTAAACAAGAACCTCCACGAACCATTATTACCTCAGCCTCAACCGATTCCCCTGGTGACCTGGTCACTCCATTCTTCCTTCGAGCAGAGTCGCCGTACGCACTGGCCTTTCTACCACGATTACCGGAAACACCTGATACGCGTGGTGTCCCCAAACCTTCCTACAACTAGAGACATAAGGTACACCTGGTCTGGTAAACCCCTAGCATCAGGACATTGATTGGTAGAGTTCAAAGATGATTATGGACGTACCAGTATTGCTGGAGCTTATACGACCTCTTGTGATAAGAACACATCCAGAGGCCAACCTTCCTAACCTCAACTAGTCGTTCTTATCCCAGAAGCTCAAATAAGCTCCAACAATCCTGATAACTCATTAAATTCACTAATTTCGTGGTCCGCTTGACCAATTAATACATTACAATTAATTAAGGTTTTTATTGAGATGAAAAAAAGCTAATGGGACGAGCGGGATTCGAACCCACGATCTTCGGCTAGATACGCCGCTGCTCTACCGCTTGAGCTATCGTGACCTCGATCCACTCGGACATCAACTTCCTATCTCAACTCCACCTTATGAGCTTGAAGTTGAATGAAGTTGATGTCCGAGTGGATGGAGGTCACGATAGCTCAAGTGGTAGAGCAGCGGCGTATCTAGCCGAAGATCGTGGGTTCGAATCCCGCTCGTCCCATTAGCTTTTTTTCATCTCAATTAAAAACCTTAATTAATTGTAATCCTGATAACTTCATACACCTCTAACCTTTACCAACCAAACTTAATACTCCAGAACCTCCTTCATGGTTATAGTATTGAGAGCATGCCCATCTTCCTAATCTCTATTAGTCATTGTTATCACGAGGATCCTTTAAGATCCAGCAATATTGTACAACCTAACCTTCTTTAACCTCTACAAACCATTCTTAACCTCAGGTTAAAAGGGCTCTTCATAGCCTATCGGCCTGATCTCAGGAGTTCCGATAAGATCCGACGACCCTGATATAACCTTCCTTAACCTCTATCAACCAATCTTACCTTGCTCATTCATGGTCCTATCGTCCTGGTACCATTCTGAATTTCTTATGTTCAACTAGTCATTCTTATCTCAGAAGATCCGATAAGATCCGAGGATCCTGATACAACCTAACCTTCCTTAACCTCTACCAACTAATCTTACCTTAGTAGCACCTTCATAGTCCTATCGTCTTGGTACCAGTCCGACTTTCCCATATTCAACTAGTCATATCTCACCAGATCCTATAAAATCCAACAATCCTGATACAACCTAACCTAATTTAACCTCTATCAACCAATCTTACCTTGCTCATTCACTGTCCTATCGTCCTGATATCAGCCCAACCTTTCTAATTTCAACTAGTCATTCTTATTTCACGAGTTTCTATAAAACAAACATTCCCGATACAACCTAATCTTCCTTAGCCTCTACCAACCAATCTTACCTTGCTCATTCATGGTCCTAACGTCCTGATATCAGTCCGACCTTTCTAAGTTCAACTAGTCATTCTTATCTCACGAGTTTCTATAAAATCAAACATTCCTGGTACAACCTAACCTTCCTTAACCTCTACCAACTAATCTTACCTTAGTAGCTCCTTCATGGTCCTATCGTCTTGGTACCAGCCCGACTTTCCCATATTCAACTGTCATAGCTCACGATATCCTATAAAATCCAACAATCCTGATACAACCTAACCTAAGTTAACCTCCTCCCACCTGTTAGTTAACCTCTTTCAAGAGCTCCCATGAATGTCGTACAGACATGATACCTCCATAATCATCCCTAACCTCTACCCAACCCCTACCCTACTGATACCGGCCTAAACTTTATCCCACAAGTTCCAACAATTCTAATGCAACCAACCTTCTCAACTCCCTTGAAGGTGAAGGTCGTACCATCCATCCGATACTTCCACCAACCGTCCCGAGCTCCCACGACCTATACGCTTCTCCTTTTTCATCTCATAATGGATAGTGATGCTTGTCGGATTACCTTAACCGGGAAGTATTTCAGGAAAACACGAAATTCTACTATAGCTAACCCGATTAAGTTCGTTAGATATTAATCGTATTAGATACAGATTATCTCGGTTTAAAATTAAATCTTTTAAATCTGCAAGATGAAGTAATTTCTAGTCATTACGCTTTTGGTTTAAGGTAAAACCATGGGCCAGGGAATATTATACATATTGATGCTCATTTCCGTCAATTTTTCCGGTAATGACATCTCCGAGAAGTATATCTGAGATATTTAATGGCCCGTTTATAAATTTACAGCGGCGAACTTGTTCTACTCGACTTATTCAAGCTTGCAAGTATGGTTTAGGACTGACCCGATACCCTTGCAGGATTAATACAATGATTTTCAGGAAAGATCGAAAAGCGGTTTTCTGACTTTGATAAAAGAGCGTAGGAAGGCGATCGAGATATACCAGGAGTGTTCTTCGGGTTTGCAACTCGGACAGAAGAAACTGTTGAAACAGAAGATCGATTATGATTTGGACAACTTGCAAGAGGACATGAACGATATGGTCGTATATACGCCTGCTTACAAAGGCGAGCATAATTTTCTTTTATGATTTATAGCGTTCGGATAAGAAAACGGAAGACGAGGCGGAAAAGTTGTACAGATTCTTAAGGGAGAACGACACGGCCCTAGACGAGTCTATGATCAAGTACGAAATCTTAATGGGCGACTTTGTACACTTCGACGGGACTTCGCTCCAAAGTGGTTTCGCCAAGTACGAAGCCCTCCTTGACAAATTGTCGGCCAATATTGAAGATGTCATGACTGAAGCAGATCTGACTACGCCGTATTGGAAGAGGGTGGAAAAATTCATCACGAACCCTTTTAACTTCTTAGGTCACTTGGAATATTGTTTTAAAAACGTTGAAATTTATTATAATTATTTCTAGAAACTTTAACCAACGAATGGGATGCGAACGTGCAGGAACCATGGTCCATCATTGAGAGAAAGGTTTCCCGTTGAATCATAACCCTTCAACCTCAATGTTTTTATTGTTAAATCCCACAGCCAAACACATGCCTGAAGGCCTTCATCGTCAAACTTTTAACGAAAGCGAGTACGTTGCTTAAGTTCTACTACGCATGCTCTGCCGTTCTGGGCAGAAATGCACCAATGAAGAAGGTCACGGAAAAGTTGCTTGATTTTCTACAAGAAAGAACTGTAAGAGCCAATGATGCCTGCTCTTCAAGTGTGATGTTTGTTTTTATCGTTTTACAGGGCAGAAAAGAATTGTACTTCCCGCTTCGTTATGACAATGACATGGAACGTGCGTTGATAAACTACGAACTGATCTACTTCAAATTAAAAAAAACACTTCAGAATGTGGACGATGATAACGAACTCGACATCCAGGACTCGAAGATGTTGATTGACTTTTTGAACGATCCTTTTGAAAATTCAGGTAGGACCGTACAGGTGAGATTGGTTAGGGGCGACTTTCGATCAGTATCAAGGTGGATTTTATATGAGCTCATCGCATAAGAATGAATAGTAAAGGTTCGTAAGGTTGGCCTAGTATCCGGGCGGTAGAGCCAAGAAGGAGGTTAAGGAAGGATTGTTCTCTATCAGGATTGTTGAGGTTTACACCGAGATAAGAATAACTAGTAAAAGATAGAAAGATTAAGCTCGTATCAGGACAATAAGACCATGAAGAGCCCATTCATCCCTGAGATAGATACCAAGAAATTAGTGATGATTATGATGAACGGTTGATAGAGGTTACCTAAGGGTAGGTTGCATCAGGATTGTTGCAGTTTACAGGAGATAAAAAGAGTATATAGGTTAGGAACGTTAGACTTGTATCAGATGGTAGGACTGGGCTTGGTGGGGGATATGATCAAGGTATCAGGATTGTAGGATCTTAAAGGAGCTCTTGACACAAGAACAACTAGTACATGGAAGGTCGGCCTAGTATCAGGACGATACGACTATAAAGAAACTACTAAGCTAAGATTGGTTGGTTAGGTTTTATCAGGATTTTTGGATTTGATAAGAGCTCTTGAGATAAGAATGTCTATAGTACTAAAGGTTACCAAAATTAAGCAAGTATCACGGCGATAGGGCCATGAAGGAGTTACTGAGGTAAGATTGATAGGCAGAAGTTGAGGAAAGTTAAGTTGTATCGGGATTGTTGGATCTTATAGGAGCTCTTGAGATAATAATGACTATGGTAGGTTTACAGGAGATAAAAAGGTTTTGGCCGGTATCAGTGTGGGACCAAGGAGAGCTGATTCATCCTAGGTAAGATGAGTACCAAGAGATTGGTGATGATCAAGGAGCTCTTGAGATAAGAACGGTTGGGTGAGGTTACCTTAGGTTAGGTTGTATCAGGATTATTGGAATTTGTAGGAGACAAAAAGAGTACATACTCATACATAAAAGAGTAGGTAAGACTCTACACACCGTATCAGGACCATAAGATCGAAAAGGAGCTTCTGAGGTAGGAAGGTTGGTTGATAGAGGTTAAGGAAGATTAAATTGTATCAGGATTGTTGGATCTTATAGATCTCGAGATAAGAATGACTACTAAATATATCGGAAGGTTAACATGGTATCAGGTCGGCAGGACTACGAAAAGCGCGTTCATCCTGAGCTAAGATGAGTAGGTAGAGATCAGTGATAATTATGGAGGAATCAAGACTGTAGGACATTCATGAGAGCTCTTCAGATAAGAACGATTGGAACAGGTTACTTTAGGTGAGGTTGTGTCAGAATTGTTGGATTTTATAGGAGATCCTGAGATAGAAAGGACTAATAGAGGTTAGGAAGGTCTTCCTGATACTGGACCAACATGACCATGACGGAGCTACGGTAAGATGAGGGCGTACAGATCATTGATGATTATGGAAGTTTCAGGACTGAAAGACATTATGAGAGCTCTTGAGGTTAGAGCGGTTGGTAGAGGTTACCTTAGGTTAGATTGTATCAGGATTGTTGGATTTTATGAGAGATCCTGAGATAGGAAGGACTAATAGAGGTTAGGAAGGTCTTCTTCATACCAGACCGACAGGACCATGACGGAGCTACTAAGAGTAAGATGAGGGTGCACAGGTCAGTGATGATTATGGAGGTATCAAGACTGAAGGACATTATGTGAGCTCTTAAGGTTAGAGCGGTTGGTAGAGGTTACTTTATGTTAGGTTGTATCAGGATTGCTGGTTTTTTTGAGATCCTGAGGCTCGTAGAGGTTAGAAAGGTCGGTCGTTATCAGGACGATAGGACCATGAAGGAGCTACTGAAGTAAGATGGGATAGAGGTCAGGCGAGACTATCGAGGTATCAGGAGTGTTTAATTTTACAGGAGCTTTTTACATGAAAACTATCTGAGTTTAGTGAAAGTGTCTTTAGCTTATTTGCATCAGTTTTTGATATGCTCAGGGGGTCCTTGGAATGTAACGATGGTGTTTGGGTGTACAGGAAGCATAAATTGTTTTTATATGGGATACCGGTTTCGATCTCAGTTTTTAGCGCCGTGTTCGTCCTCTGGTGCGGTTGGAAGGCTTATGAGCATGACGAGTGAATACATCCATAAAAGCTGTCCTCCCTTTATGTAGTTTTGTCGTTAAAAGACTATGTCCTTCTCGGGAAGGTTTCGAAGTATAGTGGAGGTAATTAGGTCATGTCAAGGGGATTTGTAAAACGGATATTGTTTCAATTTCAGATCCTCGTCCCGTGGCTTACAACGCCTATCTAGAAGTAAACAGTTCAACTTATTTTTTTATTTTATCAAGTAGTACAATAAAGTAATCTATTTTGCTTCTACTAACTTAGATCGCACGATGTTATAAAATCGAAATGGACGACATTATAAAACAGAAGGAAAGGTTGTCCTCTTCTTACCAAACCTGTCTCGCCCGATTCGGCCCGATGAAACAGGGAAGGATGAGATATAAAATTAAATTATACATGATGGATTTTAAAATGTACACGGAGAAAATGGTAATCAGCAAAAATAAAATTAGACATAGGTGAGGTAAACTTGAGTTGTTTTTGTTTTGTTTTTTACAAAAAGAGGTTGGCGGGAAACCATGAGAACGATGTCCTTCTCAACTACTACGACAAGTACATAGCAAATCTGCCGGTCAAAGACTTGCAACAGGCTTTCTACAAGTACGAAATAACGTTGAAATTCTTCGCCAACACGCTTATGACGACGGAGGAGAGGCTGGAAGATCTGTCCACAAAATATTGGGCGATAGTGAGAACATTTCTCATCGACACTTTTAACGTTAAAGGTGCATTGTACTATTTTGTGTTGAATATCGCGTAGTCTCTTCTTGCTCCAGGTACTCCTAGTCCTTCCCACCCTCCTACCACTGGAGACACCCAGTACGCCTGGCCGTTCTAATCTTCCTAGCCTGGAGACATCAGGTACACCTGGTCGGGAATACCTCCTAGACTGCAGAGACGCGACACGCCTGGTGACCTGGTCGCTCCAACCCTCCTAGCACGGATTCATCACACACGCCTGGTTGTCTCAAACTAGCAAGAAAGGCATTTAAGAAAGAACTTCGCCGATCCAAGAGGACATGGCGACGCTTTGTGGAAGAACAAGACAAGATCAATAAATGGGGCTTTCACTCTAAGGTGGCAAGAGGCAAAATATCCGGCAGACTGGCCTCAGAACTGTTCAGGCGTGGACAATTTGGACTGCACGCGGCTGGCTTGGCCCTTCTTGAGGAAGTCTTCCCACTGGATACCTTAACAGATGTTGAGGAAGTGCACCAGATTGCTCGAATCAGGGCGATTAGGATTGCAGCTGACGGATTAACTGACCCATGAACGGAAGAAGAAGTGACTGGTACAATTAGCAATCTGAGGACGGGCCGTGCGCCTGGCGTCGATCGTGTGGAGGCGGCAATGGTCAAGATGTGCGCTGATGTGGTGGCAGAGTATGTCCATTATCATGGTACTGATGGTCCATTACCTGAGAGTAGGGTACTTTCCCACGGCGTGGAAGGAGACTCGAATATGTGCTTTCTTGAAGACCAGTAGACCGCCAGAGCGACCAGGATCTTACCGGATGATCTCCCTTCTGTCGGTCTTGGGGAAGATGCTCGAACAACTTATACTGGCGAGACTCCGCTGTGCCCTTCGCCCGAACCTGCACCCGGCACAGTACGGCAGGATATCGGGACGTAGCACGACCCAAGCCATCCGTTCGATTGCAGATTGTGTTTCAAGGTCGACCTTCAGATATGTAGTCGGGATATTTTTTGACGTATGGAAGGCCTTCGACCGCATGTGGTGGCCGCCGGTCTTGAACAGCCTTAGTGACCGCTGGATCGGCAATGACTTGTGCACCCTTGTGAGTAACTGTTTGAATCGCCGCCGCGTATCCTCGCCAGAGTACGGACCGGACTGTAGCAGGGTAGTTGAGATGGGAATACCGCAAGGTTCCATGCTCAGTCCGTTCCTGTGGGCCGTACTCTTTGACGAGGCCCTGAAAGAACTTGAGAGCGCTGGCCTCAGTGCGATTGCTTACGTGGACGACCTAGTTGTCATCGTACAAGCGGACGCAAAGGCAACACTAGAAACACGGGGTACTATGGCCGTGAATATCCTGAGTGGGTAATGTAAGAAAGTCAAACTGCATTTGGCTCCTGAAAAGACTGAGCTAATGATGCTCAAGGGATCGCTCAATTTGCGATCGCTACCCGTGATTCGAATTGATGGGCAAACCATCAAAGCGCCAACTGTCATCACCTACCTGGGCGTTAAGATGTCGGCCGGACTAAGATTCAGTTCCAACGCACGTTATACGAGGGAAAATATCCCAGCCCGGATTGCCGCCATAAGAGCCATGAGTGGCGCTGCGTGGGGAGTTTCCTACCGAAGTCGACAACTGTATTACACGGCACTGTGCCATCAGTCCCAGCGTGGCTGCGTGGATTGCGTGCAGCTGACTGGACATCACTCCTAAGTGCGCAGAGGTCGGCCTTATTGGCCATAACGCAGGCCTACCGTACTACCTCAACCGACGCCCTCCAGATTATAGCGGGAAGACCACCGATTGACTCACAGGCGAAGGCTATGTCCGCTACCTGGGAACTGGTAAATGGGTATCAGCCATGCATCCCAGTTACGAGCCCACAAGATGCGAATAGATGGCTGCGGGAAGAATGGCAGCGTCGCTGGGACGAGTCGACCAAAGGTCCTATACCTATTGCATCCTCCCAAACGTGGAAAGGCGAGTGGAAGCAAAGCACCTCATCGTTGACCATTACATGTCGCAACTCTTGACTGGGCATGGGGACGTTTCGGCCAAATTGCACAAATTTGGCCTGAAACCTAACCCATTATGCCCTTGTGGGAACCAGGAGACGGTTGAGCATGTAGTGTTCTCGTGCGAAATGTACATCATACCTCGCATGAGATGGTTATATGAAACGAATTGTGATGAAGCGAACATAGATTCACTGCCGTAATGCCCTGAAGGCCGTAATGAGACAAATTGGCTGTTCTACCGCAAATGCACATTGACAGTGAAAGATCCAATAAAATTGTACATCAAGTTGAATAAAGACTTATGATATAAATAATGACAAGGCCTATTCCTCCTCCTCCTGATATCCCGAGCGAGCCGCCTCCGCGAGGACCATCCCGGATATCAACTAAGAGCTCGCCAGGAGAGAGAGAGATTCGACCGTCAAAGATCAAAAATGAAAGCCAAACCTTCCGTCTTAAATAAAAAAGCAGAAAACAAACATCAGCCAAAAACTGTAAAGAGCCGAACACGGCTTAGGCACAGTTAAAATTAATGGCCAAGACGGTTGTCTCAAACTGCAACATGGAGACATAGGTGCGTCTGATCGCTCCAACCCTCCTAGCACGGATACACTAGGTATGACTGGCTGCGTCAAACTGCAGCATGGAGGCAAGGTACGTCTGGTCGCTCCGATCTTTCAGCCTGGAGGCACAGGTACGACTGGTCTGGTAAATCTTCTAGATTGGAGAGAACCGATACTTCAGGTGGCCTGGTCGCCCCAACTCCCCTAGTAAGGATAACCTACGTATTACAAGTTGCCTCAAACTGCAGCCTGGAGACAGATACGTCTGGTCGCTCCAATCTTTCAGCCTCGATACATAGGTACACCTGGTCTAGTAAACCACCTACCCTGGAGACACCCGATGCGCATGGCCGTTCCAACCCTCCTAGCCCAGACACATCAGGCATACCTGGTCTGGTAAACCTTTTAACCTGGTCATTCCAACCCCCTCCCTAGTCCGAAGAAATCAGCTACACCTGGTTGCTCCAACCTCCAGCCTGGGAAACCAGGAACGCCAGGTCGTTCTAACCCTCCTAGCCCGGAGAAACCCGATACGCAGGTGACCTGGCCGCTCCAACCCTCCTTCAGGAAGAGCCGCAGTAAACTTTGCCATTTCTTCCTTTCTTATACCATCTATAACCTACTTTACCTGAGGCATCAGATAAGGCTGGTGGTTTCTCCTAACTCGGAGACCCTACCTGCTCCTGGTTATTCAACCTCCCCTACCTCGGAGCAACCGGGTATACCAGCATGAAGACACCAACTACTTCTAGTTGCCGCACCTCCTTCTCGGAGACACCCGTTACGCCTGGTCACTCCAACCCACTTCTGGAAGAACCACAGTACCCTTCGGTCTTCCTACCCTCCTGCTACCACCACCATGTAACTGCCCATCTAACCGTCACTTTGAATAGTAGCGTCACGGGCAGTGTATCAAGTGTTGCGATGTATTTTTTTATTTCAGGATCTAAAGAAGCTGTATTTTTAAGAAGCGTTATATTAATATACCTTCTTACGTTCGTTTTGCGCAGGTATATTTTCTAATGCGACGGGCACTGCTCTAGCTAAAATGTCGGTGAGCGCATCAATGACAGAAGAACCACCCTCAAAAGATGGACGGATTTTGCAAGACGATTTGGTCCAAGTGGTACCCTGGACGCGAGAATTTGACGAAACTATCGAAATGTCCTAACAGGAAAGTGAATTTTGGAAAATCGTCATGTACCTTGTCACCCGACCTTAATCCATTTGACTGTTTTTTAGTTCTAAAAAATAAATAATTACTATTTGCAATTTAATTATATTAAGCCTTCTTCTTAAATCCCCTGGATGAAGAAAAATAACCTCATGAAAATGAAAATCTCGATTGTTGGAGTTTATTAGCTTCTTAGATAAGAATGACTAGTTAGGAAAATTATGCTGGCTTCAGGATAGTAGGACTAAGAAGAGCCTACTCATCCTGAGGAAAGATACCAAGAAATTAGTGATGATTATGGAGGTATCAAGACTGTATGACATTCATGGGAGCTCTTCTGAAAAGAACGGTTGGTAGAGGTTACCTTAGGCTAGGTTACATCAGGGTAGTTGGAATTTATAGGAGATAAAAATAGTGTTCGCTAAGTGGACTGTATATGAATGGGTAAATAAATTTATATTAAAATTTAAAGAGTGAATCCGAGGAGGGGATTGGGATACATTTAAGTTTGCACTTACCCCAACGAGTTCAAGCAGCTCGGCCCCAGTCGTCCTCTTCTTTCTTCGACTAGGTAGGGCCCCACAGTCTCCGGCGGATTCAGACGTTTGGTACCGAACTCTTAAGGGACCCGGGCAATTAAAAACCATCAATTGAGCAAAACACGAGTTTAGATAAGCAGGTACGATAACGATGTTCTCGGCTTTGGCTCTAGGCAACAACTAACTCGCCGACCGGCCGGAGACCTCCAGAAGGGTTCAAAAGGGCGATCGGCGTAAACAAATAGTATATACGTTAGGAAGGTTAGATTGTTATCAGAACCGTAGGATCGAAAAGGAGCTTCTTACGTAGTAAGGTTGGTTAGTACAGGTTAAGGAGGGTTGAGTTATATCAGGATTGTTGGATCTTATAGGAGATCTTGAGAAAAGAATGACTACTAAATATATCGGAAGATTAGCATAGAATTGGGACGGCGGAACTGTGAAAATCTCTTTCATACTGAGGTAAGATGATTAACAATAGATTAGTGATGATCAGGGAGTTATCAGGACGGTAAGGCAATTATGGTTAGGGGCACTAGTTACACTGGGAATGGATTCGTGGTGGTGAGTGGTGACGCCCCTGGCGGGAACTTAGACAGAGGCTGTGGACCTCAGTGACCGGACGACAGCATGTAAGCGTTGAGGACGTAATGATCATGCTATAGTCCGTCGAATGCTTAAGTAAGCGAATGGAAGCGGGTAGTGAGTAGGTGTCTTGAACTCGAGTATGCTTTACATTGTTGTGCGTATGACCGGTGTGGTACCCTTGTGGAAGCGAAGGATCGGACCACCTAGGCTGAGCCTATAGCGTCCCTCGAATGCGCGTGACAGGTGTATGCTGAACTCGATAAGAGACTTTACGTAGGCGGTGCTCATCTAGAGGGTGGTTAGCAATTCCACGGCCGAGGCGTTCCCGGAAGTTTCTACGCTGGGGGAGCCTCTATACTCAGAGAGCCTTCTCTATCTAGGGAGTACGCGGGGGGGGGCGATATATTTCGGCCTGTTAGCTCCTCGCGTGCGGCATACGACCATTCGGAATGGACAAGCGGAGAGCGTAGTTGTACTGGCCCTTACCAATGCTGCGGCGGTAACACCATTTCGTCGTATGCAGAAGTGCGTCAGCTCTCATCTTGAGAATCAAAACGTCCAATAATGCCGAATAGGCTAGATGCGGACGCTAAAGATCCTCTTGTCTTGTTGACGATGAGTACTCGGGAACACAATTATGGTTAGGGGCAGATCTCGTCGAGTAAGCACGTCGAATTGTCGCTCTGCATTTGACTCGATTTTTGCGTGGGTTAAAAGCCTAATTTCAGGTAGCGAGTTGGTGAGAATCGTTCGCCGACTGTTCGCCTTCAAGATATTGCAGTGCCTGACAAGAAAATTCCAGGTACAAAACTTGTTATATTTGTATTTGTATCTCAATTTTGAGTCTATAAAAAGCTTTCCCCACAAACAAGGAATAAAGACCGAAAGAGTTGAGAAAGATGACACGTTTTTATCTGATACTTCCAGCTCTAATGAAACAGGTAATAACAATCAGATAAAAAGAAAAAAACCGAACCAAACTATGTAAACATTAAGCACCCCCAACCGCTAGAATCCAAACATGCAATGGCTAATCATATAAGAGAAAAAATCGCACAATACATGATTGAGCCAGCCAACAAATGCCCAAAACCTGCAGTGTCATATATTATTGAACTCACTGATAAATTAATCGGCATCCTGCACGAACTAACTATAGAAAATACATCTCTGAAAGGAAAATTGGAAACGAACCAAATCAACACAAACAACATGGTGGACGCGCTCATTAACCCCAGCCATCAAAAACATAGCAGAAAACATCGAACAGATACACCCAACAAGAAAGCAAAACGTCAACCTCCCAGCTGCCTTTTCTCTGTCAACTGCAAACAACACGGATACACAACCAACATCTTGGACTACTGTTGTAAAAAAGAACCTTCCAAGAATCAGGCAACAAAACCTAAACAAAAATACTACGATCACGAAAACCCCATTAGTAGATAAGTCGAGCCATTATACACACACAGATAACTTTGACAAAATAGTATATATAGATCCACAAGAAAACATTACCTCAACAAACCTCCTTACACAGGTCAAACAACTTATCAACCCTAGAGAAACAAAAATTAGAGTAGACAACATAAGAATTACAGCCAAAGGAGGAATAGCTATTAAAACGGAATCAGCTGCAGATAGACAGGCAATTTTTACTAATCAGCAACTACAACAAGCTGGCCTCACGGCTAGCATAGCCACTAAGAGACACCCTAGATTACTTATACTCAGAACACCGAAAGAGCACACGCCTACCCAAATTGCAGAACAACTTGTTGCAAACAACAGCGCAGAGGGAATATGGAAGAAGAACACAGTGAGACCTCTTTTCACTGTAAGATATGAAGCTGGCACAGGACAAGATTCTCAATTTGTGTCCTGGGTGGTGGAGGTAGATCCACAAACATGGAAATCCGCCATCAACCGGGGCAAAGTATGTCTAGACTATCAGTCTTGTGTAGTCAAAGAGTACACTGGTGTTGTAGACATACCGCCAGACATACGGACATGTTGCATCCAACTGCCCGAAAAAAGAACCTACGTGTGGAATATTTGCTTCAAATCATGACACAAGAAGCTGCGACAGGTCACAAGTGAAATGTGCGAACTGCCACAATTAAGGTCTCAACAATAACAATCATTATGCAGGATCGAAACTATGCCAAATTCATATTAAGGCTCTTACTAGAGCACGGCACATTACTGATTATGGAGATGACACAAAAACCACGGACATCACAGACAACACAATAACGGCACATCAACCCTGCAAAATAGTTGAGCATAACTTAGTAGATATGGACACTAACAATATACAAGGTAACACCATACCAAACGCACAATGATAAACATCAACAGGGAACATATACGCAGCACAATGATTGTCCAAAGTAGAGATACAATAAAAGTTTTAAAAATTGCTTAACTCAACTGTCACGGCTCGGAAACTGTCAGTTGCGAAGCGAGTAGCTCAACAACAAGAAGTAGGTATTCTTTTGGTCCAGGAGCCGTGGCATTGGGGCATTGACAGGGCTATGGGCTCAACGGCAAGAGTCAGATGCAAGGATCCTGTCCTAGTTAGAGCAGCGATCTACATCATAGACCGAGACATTAAGTCCATTAACTTGGAGGAAAACAATGAAGACGTGGCCTGTTGCCTCATCGAGCGGGCTGGTGAGCAAATTATAATTGCATCGGTTTATTGTGACAGACGCCAAGATATTCAGGAGGACATCTCTCGGATCCGGCGTCTACTGTAGAGACACAGATTGAGGAGCGTGATTATAGGAGGTGACTTCAACAGCCATCATCCGGCGTGGGGAGACGCCCGAATAGATAGGCGAGGTGAAGCCGTTATTAACTTCGTTGAGGACGCAGGCCTCCTACTACTGTAGATTCGTCACCACATACAGTGCTGCACAAGGTGAGTCGGCAGTCGACCTCGTGGTTATGTCTACAGTACTACATTCTCGAGTGGACCAATTTGAAATCAATATTGATGCCATGACAAGTGATCATGCTTGGCTAAGGCTGAAACAAAAACCGCGAATTCGGATAGATCGAGTCAATGTTACAAACCTGATAAACTTGGTCCATGGCGATTTAGCTCAAGAAGAAGAAACCCTTTTGTGGCCTGCGGAAAGCAATATTCAGGATATTGATAACAAAGTAGCCATTCTTACAAAGGCGTTGACCGAGGGACCGGATAGGATGTGTCGTGACACGTCGACACGTTCTGGGTCGGCCTGGTGGACCAGGGAAGTTGCGGAAAGCAAAGCAGCAGCTCAGCGCTTGAAGCGCCTATTTCAGAGAAGTCGCGAGATGACAGAAAGAGAAGACCTCAAGAGAGCATATTTACATGCCAAAAAGTCATTTCGAAAGGAGCTTCGAAGATCGAAGAGAAAAGAATGGCGACGATTTGTGGAAGAGGGGGACAAGGTTGACAAATGGGGTTTGCACTCGAAAGTGGCTCGTGGGAAAATTACGAGTAGGCTGGCTGCAGAATCCTTTGGCTGTGAGCAACTGGGGCTCACTGCCGCTGGGTTGGCATTACTCGAGGAGGATTGCAGCAAAGCATGTACAGGTGGACCACTACATGGCGCAACTTCTGACGGGACATGGAGACTTCATGGCCAAGCTGCACAAATTCGGCCTGAGTTCCACACCATTATGCTCATGCGGAGAGCAGGAAACGGTGGAGCATGTCGCACTATATTGTGAAATATATTGCACGCACCGGACGAGATGGTCATACGAAGTAAATAAAGAAGTAGAAACAATAAGATCATTACAAGCCATTATCGCCAGTCCAACTGATTATAAGGCAACTCAGAAGTACTGGAAAGCAATAATGAAACAAAAAGGCTGGCCTGCATAAAGAACCAGCACCAAATAACCAGCATTGCCTATAATAATGTCTACAGCTACATATTAGACACACATGCTCTTCCCCCACATCCCAGCCGGACGCCTCCGCGCGGCCCATCCCGGGGGCGCTATCACAGCGCCGCAAAGCTCCGGTGGGGGGATTTGAGCCACAACCACTAGGCACAGCAAGCCAAGTTACCTGCAAAGCTCTATCAAGGGCCCAGAAGCGGGACACACACATAGAAAAGACCTAGTATCGAGAGTCGTATAGCCATGACCCATTTGAAGACGGACCATTACATGTCCCAGTTGCTGACGGGGCACGGGGACTTCTCGGCCAAACTTCACGGTTTTGGGCTGAAGGATAGTCCACTGTGCGAATGCGGCGTGCCGGAGACGGTGGAACATGTGGTCTTAGCGTGTGAAAGGTACACAGTTCCACGGACGAGATGGATGTACGAAGTCGACGTTGATGAGGCTACCATGGACTCCGTGCGCCGTGTGATATCCAGCCCAGCCGGGTACATGGCCATGGAGAAATTTTGGAAAGCCATCATGAGACAGAAAGGATGGCCAGCCTAAAAAATAAACCAGAACCTTTTTGCAAAGACTGAGATAGAAACAACAAACAGGTAAAACTACAACAAGGCCTATTCCTTGTCCTCCTGATATCCCGAGCGAGCCGCCTCCGCGAGGCCCATCCTGGATACTAACTAAGAGCTCGCCAGGAGTGAGAGAGATGCGACCGTCATATATACAGAAAAGCTTCCGTCTAAAATCAAAAAGCAGAAAAACATATAATTAAAATCAGCCACCAAACTAAAGAGCCGAATACGTATTAGGTGCAGTACATAAAAGGCCAAGACGGTCAGGCAATCATAGTAGTATGCCGAGTACGCACGCTGAATTGTAGCTCTTCATTAGACCGGTTTTTTAAGTATAGTTTGATGGAATATTTTCACCTTGTGAGCGGGGTGAAATTATTCGTCTTCGAGATTGTGCATTGCACAAGAAGAAGTTTTCAGGTACGTCCTTGCTATATTTGTATTTGTATTTGAAATTTTGAGTCTCTATTCGGTTTGTTTTTAACGACAAATCTCCTAGCAACCGAGTAGAGAAGGAATTTTTCCCACCTTATTATTTTTTCCCTTGTTCTATTTCCCTCCCAGATGGTGCGTTTAGTCATCGTGGATTGAGGGAAATTTTCCCTTTTTCCCTCTCAGCTGATCTATTTTTTTATAAACGGGAAAATCCCTTTTTCCCCTGTTTCCCTTTTCCCTCTTTCCCTTTATCCCTCTACCAGCTGGCATTAAATCAGTGCGTAATTTGATTTGTTTTAAATTATTTATAATACTTATAATATTTAAAACATTCTAAGAAGATAAATGAACCAGGGCCCCACCCGGGAAAACTCGTCCACCTTGGAATGGTGGTACAACAAATGTTAATTTGAATACCACGGCCACTCCAAAGGACGCACACAATAAGCAAATTAAAACAAAAAGAGTACAAAAAGATGTCACGTCTTTATCGGGTACATGTATCTCCAGTGATCCAGTCCATAAAACACAAATTAAAATAAAGAAAACAGAACCCATCCAAGGAAATGTCCACCTCTCTGAAAAATTAGACACAAATCACAAAACGGCAAATCAAATTAGAGAGCAAATTGCCCAAAACAGCTAAAAAAATGTCCTAAACTGGCTGCTGCATATATCCTAGAGTTAACTGATCAATTAGTTAACATTCTGCATGATCTAACCATAGAAAGCACCTTCGAGAAAGGGAAAGCAGAAAACCAAATGGACACGAACAATTTAGTGGAAGCACTCACTAAAGCACTGACACCAGCAATCGAAAACATAACAGGAAACATCAAACAGTCACAGCCAACAAGATACCAAAACCCTAATCCTCCAGGCACCTCTCCCCCGGCAATTGACAACTCAGAAAAACAACCGATCTCGTGGACTACTGTTGTGAAAAAGAAAACCAAGCAACTAAATCAGAACAGTAATAACACAACCTCAAAAACCCAGTTGGTAGATAAATTAAGCAACTATACTAATAACATAGACAAAATTGTACACATAGCTCGAGAAGCTGCGGAAAGTGAGATGAACCTGGTTTTCATCGACTCCCAGGAGAAGATAGACCCGCATGAGCTTCTCAAGAGGGCTAAACAGATCATTAACCCTCGGCTGGTTCGCATCGACGATATTGGAATAACAGCGAAAGGAGGCCTAGCTGTTAAAGAAAGTCAAGCTGACAGGCAAGCCATCTAGACAAATCTAGTCAAGCAGGCCTCAGCGTACGAACAGCTGGGAAGAGAAATCCACGGATACTGTTGCGAGTACCTAAAGACTATAAGCCGGAGCAGCTAACCTCAAATAATAACCTGAACGGGATCTGGGAAAAGTCGAACATTAGACCACACTTCACCCTACGATATGGTGCCGGCACTAGGCAAGAGCCTCCCTACGTATCGTGGGTGATAGAAGTTGACCCGTATACGTGGAAGGCTGCAACTTCACGAGGGAAGGCCTATCTTGACTATCAGTCCTGCACCGTTAGGGACTATACAGGCGTCACCCGCTGTTACAAGTGTCAGCGGTATGGTCATGTAGCGAGGACATGTCCAAAGAAAGATCCGGTCTACGGCATTTGCGCTGGCGCCCATGATACGCGAAAATGCAAGCGCGAAACCACCAGATGTGTCCACTGCCAACAGGCAGGTAAGAACAACAAGATCACGCAGGGTCCCAACAATGCGAGGCCCATGCAAGAGCCATAGCTAGTGCCTGGTGTGCCACAGATCATGGGGACACAGCGGACACCAGTACTGTCCATAAAAACCCAACTGTTCAGAGCAAGCTGGACATAGACCTTGGGGACATGGACACCCAAATTCAAGAGGGCACTATGGTATTCGCTGAACAGTGACAGATTCAGTGCGATACATTGTTGTACCCAAATCATAGATCAACCAAAGGAAGGACCATAAACATCAGACAAAAACTGTAAATAGCCGAACAAGGCTTAGGCACAGATAAAACAAAACGCCAAGACGGTAAGGCAATTATGGGAGCTCTTGAGACAAGAACTGTTGTTAGAGGTTACCTTAGGCTAGGTAAATTGATCTTAGAAGTAAAAGTTAGAAAGTTAGGCAAGAATGATATTGGAAGATTATAGCTTGGTATTAGGACTTCTCATCCTGAGGTAGGATGAGTACCAAGAGATTAGTGAAGATCAAGGAGGTAGGACGTTCGTAAGAGCTTTTGCGAGTTTTAAAATATTCTTTTCGGAAACCAAACGGCTTTTTTCACACTCGCCCGGCGCGCGACCGTGCTGCCGTAGTCACAGGACCGTGATCGTCGAATTTCTTGTTGACGCTATTTTACAGTTTTCACGGCCGTAAAACGTGAATGACGAAAAACTCATTGAGTCGGTGCGAAATAATCCTGTGTTGTTTGATCAGGCAAATTCAAAATACATGGACTCAGAATTCAATAATACTCTATAGATAAAAATAGAAAAAATGAGTGTTTGATAATAAGGAAGAGATCCAGCATCAGAATTGAAATTTTTCTCGTCTACGAAATGCATCTGTCGTGTTCCCTCCCTGTGAATGTAAATTTTGTGTTCGACTTTCACTCCTCGAATCCACTTGGGAAGTAACATAATTAATACGTGAGTGTAGTGCATTTCTTATTGTATTAAGAAGTTTCAGTCTTATAGCAAGCAAAATTTTGTTCCATCGTCCACTAATGCTTTCTGAAGTGTCTTTCTTCTGACTCTCTCTTGGTCCATGCTTGATGGATCCACTTCATCCGTTTTCGTGTTGTGGTTCCTCTTTATTCAAAATCTGTGCGATAATCAAAAGTTCATCATCTGAAAACATTGCTATTTGGGCCACTCAAGTCCACTGCGGATGAAATACCGGCCAATGTGAGTAGAGAGCCCTGTATGATCACAGTGGCAGGGAATAAGGGCCGTCACGTCACTGATGTGTGTGAATCGATCTTTATACTGATGCACGACAAGATCTCTGCGGAGTCAATTCTATTGTTAAATGTCTTACATAAAAGCAAGCAAGCAAGCCCGATTCTGCTACCTTCCAAAGAGTCCAACCGAATCCAGTCATAAAGTATAAAGGCCGATTCACACACATCAGTGACGTGACAGTGTCGAGACCGGCGTTTTGTACCACCGGCAGGTTTGGAAATATTCTTCTTAGAAACCGAACGGCTTTCTGGCTGAGCCAACAGTGCTGCCGTCGTCACCGGACCGTGATCGGCGGATTTCTCGTTGACGATGTTTTACGTTACGTTCAATGTTAATGGAAAAATTTGCAAAAATTACGAAATCTGCCACTTCTGACTTCTCGAATTTTTACGTATTCTGTTTTTTGAAGGTAAACCGCATTCGATAAGCCCCTCCATCTACAATTTAATTGAATTATGTTTAATAAACTCAACTAGAATATTTTCCGCTTTTTGTTGTTAAATTTGATAAAACCGTCGATTATTTAATTAGACTCAGCCTAATCGGATTAAAGTCCATTTAACAAGGGGATTATCTTCGGATTATTTAACCACCAGGTTGTGTTTTATAATTTAATTATAATTTCTTATTTGAAAAGAGTTTACGTTGTGTCTCGATTTGATCTGGTGAAAGAAAATCATGTACGGCGGTTCATTCCTATGGACTGTGTTCATTACGCTCAATATTTTCGGTTAGGATTTATTTATTTTTTAATCCAAGAAACTGTTTTGTATACACATTATAATTTTGTAGTTCTTGTTTATAATGGTTGCGCCTACGCGGACGCCAGCACCGTCAGCCAAGTATAATAGATTTTTCATTTATATTTTATTAAATATATCATCAAACTGGTTTTTTGTTTGTTTTGCATTTTTCTCAAGAGGATTCTCAGCGGGGATGAGCTGAATTTAAAACACCTAATTGGCTTGAGGAAAAATCAGACTTCATTCGACCACGCGATAGTGAACGAAATGTCTCCTACTGATCAGAACCTTACCAGAGAGTGGCTCGTCTTTCATCTGAACGATTTAAAATTCGATCTCGCACAGATGGTACTTAAACACAAATGGTAGAAAGTATATTCGTTTTTATTTATTTTTTGATTTTTTTCGCGCCTTTTAAGACTTCAAGTGCAAGCGAGACGGACAAAAATTTAATAAAGCAGTTGGACAGGGATTACTGGCACTCTGTGCCGTTGATAAATGACACGGATTCGGCTTTTACGAAGTACGAGTACATCCTGACCATCTTCGACCACCAGATGGAACACAACGTGCACAGCCCAGCCGACCTGGAAACTCCATACTGGAAGACGGTAGAGAAATTTCTACTGGTAAGCCTGTTTGGATAATAAATAAATCCGTTTAAACAAAATCTGAAGTATTACTTTTGTTTGAAAGTTAATCATCACTCCTTCACCTACCTTGTCCGTTTTACTTTTCCCCTCTAGGTTTTTATTATTCATTATAAATTTTATTGCAGTTCGAACGGGCCAAATGACCCAAAACTGAACAGTCAAGAGTTCAAAAACATACATAATAATTTATAATTTAAAAAATTAACATTAGATAAAAAATATATTACAATCAGATAATAACTGAAATAGATAACAATAAAACTTGTGGCCGAGGAAACATGCAATTATCGAGACGTCAGAAGTGACAGATTTCGTAGTTTTTACAAATTTATCCGTTAACATTGTACGTCCGTGAAAACTGTAAAATATCGTCAACGAGAAATCCGACGATCACGATCCGGTGACGACGGCAGCACTGTTGGCTCGGCCACGTTCGCGCGCCAGGCGAGTGTGAACAAAGCCGTACGGTTTTTTTTTTTTTTTTTTTTTTTTTTTTTTTTGAGAGAGANAGAGAGAGAGAGAGAGAGAGAGAGAGAGAGAGAGAGAGAGAATTTCAAACACGCCAGTGAGACAAAATGCCGGTCACGACACTGTCACGTCACTGATGTGTATGAATCGGCCTTTATACTTTAAGACTGGATTCTGTTGGACTCTTTGGAAGATAGTAGAATGCTGTATTCGGCCTTGCTCTTGTGGAAGACATTCGACAGGATTGACTCCCCAGAGATCTTCTCCTGCATCGGTACTAAGATCGATTCACACATCAGTGACCTGATGGCCCTTATTCCCTGCCAGTGTGATCATGTAGAGATCTCTGCTGACAATAGCCAGCGTTTAATCCGTGCGGTGGACTTGAATGGCCAAAATAGTTATGTCCACACGGAAGTCAAAGGTATCACGGCTGCATTCGATCCTGCTATCCCTCCGCCCTAAGTCTATCTTTCCTTGGTTCACACACCCATCGTTATTTGATTATACAGTCCACCCGATTCAAATCCTCCTCTGCTGCAATACCCACTCGACGAGTGTGAACAAAGTTAACAACAAACACGCCGGTTGAACAAAACGCCGGTCACAATACTGTCACGTCACTGATGTGTGTGAATCGACCTTTATGCTGAGATATTTGCAACTGTTTGCTTTTACTTTTATACTTTCTATAGTAACTGCTCGGTTTTTTCTTAGATCACTCCAAGTTTTTATATACATGGACTTAAATTCCGTCTCTGGCTCAACATTATATATTGATTTAATTACACATTTAAAAGACGGAAATATCAACCATTACAAAATACAATTTATTCTCTGTCACATTTTTTTAAATGACATTCGATTTTTAAGTGTAAAGATAAACGAGTCTGACTTGATTCTGTCAACTAAAGATATCGACTACACCTCAGTGATAAAATTAGTGATCATTTGAAAGAAACGGTTAACCTAAATTCAGTTTTGTTAGATTTGTTTTTAACAGAAACTGATGCATTAAAAAATAATTTCTAACGTGGAGAAATTATACTTTTATCTGAGTCACAATTGTCAAATACACATTAACTGCACTACGAACAAAAACACTATTTTCATTGACTACGTTGTTTTTCCTTACATTTAATTTATAATGGGATGAGTTATGTTAAACCAGCAAATCCGTTTGGTCGTGCCGAACTGTTGCAACTAGTGCGAATAATGTGAACGACAACAAAAAATGAATTTTCGACCCATCGTTACAGTTTTCACGGCCGTACAACGTCATGGTGAGTAAAGTACGTGTACGTTTCTGTAGTGTTTACATTATGAATTGCAATGGTTCTGTAAGACTGGATTTGGTCGGACTGTACTCCCTACAGATAGTCCTGCATCGGTATTAAGGTCGATACACACACATCAGTGACGTGACAATGTCGTGACCGGCGTATTTTATTTGTTTGAAAATATTCATCTCATTGAGTCGGTGCGAAAGAATCCTGTACTATTTGATCATGCTAATTGAAAATATTTCAGATTTTAAGAATATTCTCTGGAGGAAAATAGGAACAGAAATGAAAACAGATGGCGAGTAAAGTACTGGTTTTGGTCGGACTGTACTCCCTACAGATAGTCCTGCATCGGTATTAGGGTCAATCCACACACATCAGTGACGTGACAGTTTCGTGACCGGCGTTTTTGAAAATATTCTTGGAAACTGAATAGCTTTGTTCGCAGTCGACGAGCAGGAGCAGGATCGAATAGTCGTGATACCCTAGACCTCCGTGGGTTGCCGGATATAAACCTGACACAACAGTTCATTCATCTTTTCAGCCGCTTATTTTGCTCCTTCGAAAGCCAACCATAAGCAACACAAGAACTTTTGTTGTAGACATCAAGCAAAATATTTTCAAAAACGCCGGTCACGACACTGTCACGTCACTGATGCGTGTGAATCGACCTTAAGACATCATCACAACACTAGAGCATAAGCAGTTCTGCCTGGATTCCTTCTAAACCACTACTGAAACTCAAATTCTTAACACTTAAAAATTCAATACCTATCATTTCAAAAAGAACCTCTTCCATAAATTCCGTCCTCTCTGGTTCTCCTCAAGGCAACATCCTACATCAGTTATTTTTTAGTACACAACAGGCTTACCTTAACACTTGTACAGTTCCTGATGATACACTTTGCAAACTGCGATCCTGATGTAGGACCACAAAACCAAAAAGGTTTGACAAAAACCAATCACTTTCTTGCAATTATAAAGATGTTTGAGGGAAAAAGAAAACGAACAGGGTTGGTGAAGATTGTACTGATGATCAACTTTCCAATGGTAATATGAACTTCAGAACTTTCAATATACTTTGATATTTTTCAATAAAAACATGGTTATCCTCTTCCAGTATGGACTTTCCAGGTCGGTCCAGCTGTGCACGTAGTTTTTCAATTGGTCGTCAAATATGGTAAGAATTTTCTTGTACATCCTGATAGCTGAATATCCATCCTTTCTTAATGAATCCGAGTACCAGTATTTCTTCTCCAATTGCATTATTAGATATTTATTCGTCTCATTTTCAATTGAAATCTTGAAAAATGAAAAAATCAATATTAATTAATTTTATTAATAAATTTTATTGCATTTTGCCCTCTTTAATGACCATTTGTGTAAAATCGAATTTTAATTTTTTCAAAAGATAGATGATCCATTTATTGACTAGTTTCCGATAACGAGGCGAAAGGTCAAACAGGTGGTTGTGGTAAAATGAAATCTCTCCCTGCCTCCTGACAATCAGTTGTCTCAATTGTTGCGCATCAATGTTGGTAATCTCCTTGAGATAAAAAAAAAAAAAAAAAAAAGACTATATTTCATTAAACACACTAAAAAATATATCTTACTTGGCCATAAGTTGTGGCTTCTGTGAAGTTATATTCGTTAACAAGAACTACAAAATTAAAATATTTATAAAATACAGTTTCCTTGGAAAGAACAATAATAGAAGTTAACTGAAAATATTGAGCGTAATGAACACAGCCCTTGGGAATGTATGGCCGAACATGATTTTCTTTCACTAAATCAAATTTAAACACAATAAAAAAAAAACCTTTTTAAGAAGAACTTTAATTAAATTAGAAAATTGAATTTAATCAGCCGAGGCTGAATCTAATCCAATATTGGACGCTCCAATAAATTTAAACATGAAATAAAAACCACCTGCCAAACAGGTTGGGCAATATACCTTACCTTACATTGTGCATGCGCATATGTTGATCCGTTTGGGATAAAATCCACAGGGGATCATCTAAAAAGCGACCTGCATAATCTCTGAAAATGGAATAAAAACCGACAAATGATGTCAAAAAGTCCACAAGTGGCAGGAGTGCATCCTTTTTGCTAATGGCTTTTATTATTGATATTTATTTGTTTCTAGATTAATTTTTCTAAATTTAGCCTAGATAAACAGTTTATAACAAAAGAAATGAATAATAAAAATAAAAAGTGTAGAAATTTGTAGATATCAGGCAGTCAGAACAGGCAGATTGACTCTGTTTCTTGGCGATTTTCCTTTATTATCAATATTATTTTACAAATTCTATGATATTTTTGATAAATTTAGCCTAAAGTAACAGTTTATAACAAAAAAAATGAATAAAAAATATAAAAAGTGTAGAAATTTATAGATATCAGGAAGTCAGTACGGGCAGATTGACTCCTTTATTGGTTATTTTTCTTTATTATTGATATTATTTTGTAAATTTTATGATATTTATGCTGAATTTAGCTTAAAGAAACAGACTGTAACAAAATAAATTTTTCAAAAACTGAATAAATTGGAAAATATCAAAAAAGTCACAACTGGCTGAATTCCTCCTTTCTGCTACAGGTTTTTATTATTGATATTGTTTTGTAATCTCTAGATTTTTTAAAATATTTTTATAATTATTCTATTTTTGCCAAATTTGGCCTACTGCATTTAAAGAAATGCACAAAAAATTGTGTAACTCATGAAAACTTGCATGCATCAAATCAGATTCATTTCTCTTTGCTAATAATAATTATTGCTGACTCATTGAAAATATTAATTATTGATATTGATTTGTAATTTCTAGATTATTTTTGTTAAACACTAAATAAACAGTTTAAAACAAAAGAACTGCTAAAAAAATAAAAATTTGTAGATGTCAGGAAGTCAGAACAGAGAGATTGATTCCTTTATTGATGATTATTCTTTATTAACGATATTTTGTAATTATATTTTTGATAATTTAGCCTAAAGAAACAGTTTATAACAAAATAAATTCCCAAAAACATTGAATAAATTGGAAAATGACAAAAAAGTCACAACTGGTTGAATTCCTCCTTTCTACTAATGGCTTTTGTTATATATTTATTTATCAACTTATATTTTTCATGTTGTTTTGTATCCTCTAGATTTTTTTAAAATTCTTATTATTATTCCATTTTTGATAAATTTACCCTACTGCATTAAAGAAATGCATAAAAAATTGAATAACTCTTGAAATTTGAAGATATCAAAGAAGATTCTCTCCTCTTTGCTAATATGTATTTATTATTGAATTTTTAAATACATTAATTATTGATACTGATTTGTAATTTCTAAATTATTTTTGTTAAATACTGCCTAAATAATCAGTTTAAAACAATAGAAATGAGTAATAAAAATAAAAAGTGTAGAAATTTGTAAACATCAGGAAGTCAGAATAGACAGATTGACTCCTTTATTGCAAATTTGCCTTTATTATTGATATTATTTTGTAATTTATATAATATTTTTGCTAAATTGAGCATAAATAAACGGTTTATAATAAAATAAATCCCCATAAAATTGAATAAATGTTTAAATTAGAAAATGTTAAAAATGATATGTTTATTTTTATTATTATTCTATTTTTGATAAACTTAGCCTGAAGAAAGAGTTTATATCAAATTTAACACTTGTTGAAATTGGCCATTGTCGAAAAGTCACAAGTGGCTGATTTTCTCCTTTTTTGTTAAAGGCTTTTATTATTGTCATTCATTTGTAATTTTTTGATTATTTTTTGTTATTTACTGCCTAAATAATTAGTTTAAAACAAAAGAAATGAAAAATAAAAATAAAAAATGTAGAAATTTGTAGACATCAGGAAGTCAGTACGGGCAGATTGACTCCTTTATTGGCTATTTTTCTTGATTACTGATATTGTTTTGTAATTTCTGAATTATTTTTTGTTAAATACAGCCTAAATGAACAGTTTATAACAAAAGAAATCAATAATAAAAATAAAAAGTGTAGCAATTTGAAGATACCAGGAAGTCAGTATGGGCAGATTGACTCCTTTATAGGCTATTTTTTTATTATTGATATTACTGTGTAAATTCTATGGTAATTGTGCTAAATTTAACATAAAGAAACTGATTATAACAAAAGAAATGCTTAAAAAATTGAATAAATGTTGAAATTTGAACATCAAAGTCACAAGTGGCTGATTTCCTCTTTTTTTTATTACAGGCTTTTATTACCGATATTGTTTTGTAATTTCTGAATTATTTTTTGTTAAATTCAGCCTAAATGAACAGTTTATAACAAAAGGAATGAATAATAAAAATAAAAAGTGTAGATATTTGTAGATATCAGGAAGTCAGAATGGGCAGATTGACTCCTTTTTTTTTTAATTTTTGTAAGTGTAGGAATTAGTAGATATCAAATAGTTAGAATTAGCAGATTTATTCCTAGATAAACTGGAATACAGTCGATTGACTCCTTTTTAGGGGATTTTTATTTATTATTGATATTATTTTGTAAATTCTATGATATTTGGCTGGCTATTTCCTCCTTTTTTTGCTACAGGGTTTTATTATTGACATTGTATTGTAATTTCTGAATTATTTTCGTTAAATACAGCCTAAATGAACAATTTATAACAAAAGAAATGCATAAAAATTTCAGTAATTCTTGAAAATTACAGACATAAAATCAGATTCTATCCTCTTTGCTGATATTTATTATTTTTATCTTTTGCTAATACTATAATATTATTAAATATATTTATTATCGGTATTGATTTGTAATTGCCAGATGTGTTGTAGAAATCAGCCTAAATAAAATAAACAGTTTAAACCAAAACAAATGACTAATAAAAATAAAAATTGCATAAATTTGCTGTTATCAAACAGTTAGAATAAGCAGATTTATTCCTAGATAAACTCGACTATATAAACACGCCCTAGGCTGAAAAACAAATTATCCCACAAAGAGGATTATCTTTGTTTATCTAATGTCTGTTTTGAAACCAAACTACAGTCGTTACTTATTGCGAAACGGAACGAGTAGGGCATGTCAGTCTTACCGGTAAGCCTATCCATCTAGAATTTGATTTAATTCTTTAATTTAATTAAAGTAATAATTAATAAACTTGATTATTAGATTCAGCCTTGGCGGATAAAACTTAATTTTCTAATTTAATTAAAATTCTGCTTGTTAAAGTTTTTTTAAATTTTTTTATTGTGTTTAAATTTGACCTAGCGAAAGAAAATCATGTTCGGTTGTTCATTCCTATGGACTGTGTTAATTACTCTCAAAATTTTTGGTTAATATTTATTCTATTGTCGTTTTTTTTTTCCATGGAAACTGTTTGGTATAAATATTTTAATTTTGTAGTTCTTGTTTATAATGATTGCACCTACGCAGAAGGCACAACTTATGGCCGAGTAAGATATATTTTTCAGTATGTTTAATTAAAAAATTGTCTATTTATGGTTTTTGATTTTTTTTTTTTTTTAATTTGTCTCAAGAGGATTATCAGCGGGGATGAGCTGAATTTAAGACACCTGATTGGCAGGAGGCAAGACCAGATTTCATTCTACCACAAGTGTCTGTTCAACCTGTCGCCTTATAATCAGTACCTTATGAAACAGTGGCTCGTCTATCATCTGAACGTTTTAAAATTTGATCTCGCACAAATGGTACTTAAACAGGACTTTGATAAAAGAATATTTATTTTTTTATTTTGTACTTACCTTTTAAGACTCCGAGTGCAAATGAGACAGACAAAAATTTAATAAAGCAGTTGGACGAGGATTACTGGGACTCTGAGCCGTCGATAAACGGCCCGGATTCGGCTTTCAGGAAGTACGAGTACATCCTGACCTTCTTCTACCACCAGTTGGAATCCTACGTTAACACCCCGGCCGACCTGGAAACTCCGTACTGGAAGAAGATAAGGAAGTTCGTAACAACAAACCTGTTTGTATAATAAATAATAAAAAAAAAAATCTTAAGTAATATTTATTTTTTATATTTATAATTTAAAGTAAATGAATGGCAGTGTCCATCAAAATTACTTTTGACTTTTTTCAAACCTAGAATTTTGAGAAATTAAGTCATGCCATATACAGTTCAGAGCCCATTCGTTGTAGATAATTGTCGATATGGTGTTTCAAAGACATTTTCTCATGGTAGCTCATAATCTTGAAAAGGACATGAGGATCTTTTTCATCCGCCAGCTCGTTGAGGCGACGCGCGCTTATGAATGTGTTCCTCGCATGTTCGGTGTAGGAGACAAGATCACTAAGGACCGAGATGACGAGATGACATACATATGTGTATGTCCGGCATTACCGTCATGCTCACTAGAAGAGGCAAACGTCTCATAGTGTGGAGGGGCTCCTCTATTGCCACGGATAAAGTGTAATAGCTAACTATCCCTTAGAGGAACTCTTCGGTAGAGGAAGTTAGTAAAAGACCAACAGGCTAACTACCCGCCAGTGATGGCTAAGCCACTACGAGACCTTTTCCATGTATACCTTGGCTTAGGATTTTCCGCTCTGTTGATCTCTACTGTCTTTGCAGACAGGATCTGGTATCCTGATCCATCTGTCTAACTCTGGCACCTGCTGTCTGCAGGCTGAAAAGCCGACAAGAATACAGCTTATGATTTAGACAGTTTGCCATGTTTTCAAGGCTGCACCGTTATTTTTTGGAACCCGTCCATTGCGTCCAAGGGCCCATAGGGCCTGGATTGAGAAAGGTGCTTTTGAAGTTGTCAAGGGGTATTGAAACCACCAAGCATACCTGGTGCCTCAGGTATAGAAGGTTCTGCTGTAGAGTCAACCGACTCACTGTATCCACGGCTCTCTTGGACCTCTACCAACGGCACACATACACAGTCCAGGCTGCATCCATCGTCTCTACACCACAGAACAACACCGGCCCTTGAGGGGCGTTAAAATTCCATTTGCAGATTATGCAATGAGGAGGAAACAGCCACCCATATCAACCTCAAATGTGAAGCAACGACTCAGTGGAGATTTAACCTAACATACGAAAAAATCTAGAGAATGAAAGTGTAGCAGCGACAGTCAATGACCTGGTAATTCTGAGAAGGATTTTGCACTGAACTAGGGGACTAGGAAGGTACAATAAGCCAGAAGGCTCCAGTGCCTGGGGAGCACAAACCTTCCTAGTATCCTCATCACTATCCCTAATGAGTTTGATTTCTCACATTTTGGGCTTGTACAGAAAACACCTGATCCGTTTCTTCGTTTGTTTTGGGGTCATTTGTATACCATTGTATGTGATGCTCTCCTGAGTTCTTCCTCAGAGAATGTTTCCGGGATCATGTAATCAGTCCCCATCCTTTTTAAAAAGATATTTCCTACTCACAGTAAGTTTTTTGCAACGATCCGTATTTCGAGCCTTTTAGCTCATCATCAGGTTGAAGGACTTCTACAACCACGACTCTCGACATGAATTGCCAAAGTGAACCTGCTGATACCTCCGCCAACGCGTCGTTCCAATTAACAGCTGATTTCTTTAATGGCGCTCAATTTGAACGTGCGAAACGCGGAAATTATAACACAAATAAATATTATACTAGTAAATACTTAATATTATTAAATTACTNTTCAACCTGATGATGAGCTAAAAGGCTCGAAATCCGGATCGTTGCAAAACAACTTACTGTGAGTAGGAACTATCTTTTTAAAAAAGATTGAACACCACACGCACTCCATCATTTATCATTTCTATCAGTCCCCATTTCTAAGAATGGAAGTCTGATTTGGTTAATTATGGCTGTGTGCTCGAATTGTTTAGTTGCCATCCAATTTTTGGTGCTTAAATCAGCTTTTCCTTGCTTCTCCTTGCTTGAACAGATGCATCTTAAAAAAAAAAAAAAAAAAAAAAAAAAAAAAAAAAAAAAAAAAAAAAAAAAAAAAAAAAAAGGTCGGAAATTTTTGAAAAAACGCGTAAAAATTCATAACCTCCAGTTTGAGATAGAACAGTTAAGTTGGCTGCATTTTACTCAATTTGGGATGTACCATAACCCAATATTTTTCGGGTTTATGCTTCACCACCCTGTATAGAAGGGTTGTTATTCATTTTTGACCCCCCTGGACGAGGAACATCGTCCTACGTCCCACCGTACGCCACAAATAACGTGATCTTCAGTACACATCTTCCTTTTGACCTTTGATATAAAACTTTATAAGAATTAGTCTTTGATGACAGTCTGATTGGTTTAAAAATTAAAAAAACCTTTATTAATTTATTTTATAACAGTAGTTTGTTAGTTTTTGATTTGTTTTACCCTTTAAAAAAAATCAAACTATACCCTATGCTTAACATTTTTAACGAGTTTATTAGACATAAATTACGTTCATATTAATGATAATTCACCATTGTTTCAAGGTAATAAATATATTAAAAAATCCTTTTTTAATAATAAGGCTATCAGTCAGTTTTGAGATATCTTTTTTCTTTTTTATGCCCGGATGGAAATCAGCATACGCCTAGTTTCAGATCGACCCGGATGCTCCCAACATCCGCGTCATCCTGGGAATCCTTAAAAGTCTCCTTTCCGCAGAAAGACCAGCTGAAATTGAAAATTTCTCGTAATTTTTTTTTTTTTTTTGGGGGGGTACAATTTGAAAATTTTATGTACCTTTGACCGTCCATGTTTGCTATTCTGACATGGAAGAGTATCAGGTCTTTGACTTTTTGAGCCGGCTTGAAAACGACAGTAGCCGAAGTATGGTTGAGCGAAGGCACCATGGAACGGTATGGTGCGGCTGCCAACCCCCTGTAGATGACAGCAGGTCCGTTGTACATTCTGGGTAAAAGAAATAAATAAATAAAATTAAAAGTAAAGATGAAAAAACCGTAATTTTCACGTCGATCTTACCTTCTCGGCAGTACAAGCTGCCTCGCCTGCTGTGCAGCCGCTTCGACCCATTCCGTGTGGAGTTTGAACGTCGTCTGAGAACCGTCGTGGTGTAAGTTGAGGTGTACGAAGCCCCTCGGTCTCGGAATCGGTTTCGACAGGGTTACAGTCGCTTGAAGCTGATCGCCTGTTGAAAAACTACGATTAAAGTTTTCTGCAAATAACCTAAAAAAAATAATTTTTACCGCAGAATGGAGGGTTATCTCTGGTCACAAGGTACAACGGTCCTCTCGCTAAGCCTTTATCTGCTCTGAAACCCATCATGCCACAAGATCCATCTGCAAGAAGAATTTTAACTACTACTTATGAGTTTTATGTGGTACTCCATGTGAAAAATTAGGCCTACGATGAAATGGTAAAATAACGGGCAGGTTATACATTGGGTACACCCCTCAAAAAAAAAGTCCCTGCAAAAAGGTTATTTACCAAGCTTCATTCTAGTAAACGGTAGGTTATACCTTGGTTATCTTTCAATAATCTCATGGGGTCCACCGTCCTCACATTTATTTCACAAGGAGTAGGTTATAACAGGGTTTCCTAAAAATAATAGGGTTTATTCCATCTAAAACAGATGGATTTTCATTGCATCCCTCCTTGAAAGTAGGATGTACCCAGGTTTTATCTTCAAAAAGAACAATTTTATTTACCACCGATCACTCCAGGTTAAATTAAACAATGATTTCCCAAAATAACTTTTTAAATACACTCACCAACTCCACTAATGAGTAGGTTATATCTTGGTTATTTTTCAATAATCTCACCGGGGTCCCCTGTCGAATAGATAGGCTAGACATGGCCTTCATCCATGTAACATTTAGATTATACACTGATTATCTTTTCAAAAAGGGGTAGGTTATATTATATATTATTATATATTATTACATAGTTTCCTTGGGAAATAACATACACGGAGTTTAACATCAAAAGATACAGATTTTTTTTATCGCACACCTCCTCAAAGACACAAAGCTCAGGTTTTATCCTCAAAAACAAAAATTCTATTAGCCCACAAGCGGCAGGTTACACGAGGGTTTCCCCCATAAAAATACCAGTAGATTATGTATTCTGTCTCCCCCAAATAATCTCACATGTGTAACCAATATTTCCCGCCAAACAGGCAATGTAATTGTCTTTATTCCAATATTGGGTAGGTTAATCTTGGTTATCCTCCAATAGTATAGATATCCACTTACCTAAACCCACAGACAAATAAAGACAGGTGAGGCACGGCCATCATCCGTAGGAGGTATATTTCAACGAGTTATCCTCCCATTTATTATTTTACAAGGGATATGTTATAACAGGGTTTCCTCTAAAAGGAATGTAAATGAGGGTTTAACTTCAAAACAGATGGTTTTTTATTGCATCCTTCCTCGAAAGTAGGATGTACCCAGATTTTATCTTCAAATAGAACTATTTTATTTACCATCAATCACCTCAGTTAAGTTATTCAAGGGTTTACCAAAATAACCTTGTAGGTACCCTCACAAATGTAATGGGTAGGTTATACCTTGGTTATCTTTATATAATCCCACCGAGGTTCACCGTATTCAAATGTTGGTTATACATGGTTCCCTCAAATAACAGGTTATGTTTATTTAGATCCCACTAATATAGTGATTTATGATATATAATGATTTCTTGTTAAAAGCAGATGGATTTTCTTGGCTTTTTCTCTTTTTTACCTGTTGAATGAACGTTGCAAGACGTCGGAAAGCAGGAACCGGAATGAAAGTGCTCTCTGCTGTAACATGGGAACGCCCTGAATTGACACGGGTGCTCCTCAGGGGTCGCTATGCTCTCAAGGAATAGCTGGAAGCCCCTGATGTGGTTGCAGACCGTGCTTGAATTCACCGTGCCTTCTGTTTAAAAGAAAAACACAACAGTAAAATATAAATGAGAAGGTTTTGTAAGAGGTAAGAGAGTAGAATTTTGACCGAGGTGGCTGACGATGACGGAGGCGAAGACGTGGGCGCAGCCAGGCTGGTCTCGTCCGCCGTTCGGGAAGAAGTCCACGTGGCCCAGCGCCTTGAGGAGGCCGAAACCTTCCGTCCAGACGACCGCACCGTCCGTGTGGATGACGTCGACCAAAGCGGCGTCCCTTCCGCTCAACGAGACCATGGACGTGGCGGCGAAGTGTTCTCTGAAGAGTGGCGAGGCCGGGTCCAAGCCTGTGATCCTCGCCAGCCTTATACCCCTGCTGAGGAGCGACCTTCCGGCGTATCCGGCGATGTGGGCCCCGAGGCTGAACCCGATTATATGGATGTCGTTGGGCGAAGAACCGAGGGAGATCAGATCCAACAGTACCAGGGTCAACTGCCTTCCTACCAGTTGGGTATTTGCGGCCGACAACCTGTAAGACGGACCCGCCGCTCCTTTTTCCCAGTCTAGGAGTATGACGTTGCAATCTTCCTAAAAATGAGAAACGATCCATCAAGGTTTGAAAAGAGCGAGACGAAGCGGACTCACGATTTCTATCAACGCCGCGGCAATCGCCCTCGCGCTCCTGTCTTTCCCACTACCTTTGAAGCCGTGGACCAAGAACTTGGTTGGCCTCTCTGGCCTGAAATCAGAGGCTCTGAGGGATCCGCGGTCGTCCCCGTACGCGATGAGTTCCTCGGATGTCGTCCTCGTATAGAGGAAAAACTTGGTCTCGACGTCAGAAGGCGCCTGGGGTCCTTTTTTCAACGGGCTGTCCGCCGGGAAGCAGCCGAGCAGCTCTATTCGAAACACCGTTAATTTGAGAAAATGGTGGACAATGCTTTCTGCTTTGCCAGATTTTGCCAAGGGGCCAACCGTCGCTGGCTTGGTGTCATACCATAACAGATTTCTTTTTTCCTCCGTTCCGTCCTTCTGCCTAGACGGCTCCGGATCATGGCTGTCATCCTCTTCCCCACCATCGAGAGTGCTTCGTCATTCGCTAGAAAAGGAATGGTGAATTAGAAAACGTTCATTATTCAAATGAAAGGTAGGTTTTAATTGGCTCTAACAAAGACAGGTTAAGTAAAAGGTAGATTTCACAGACGGCAGGTTATAATAAGGTTTTATCTACAAAAGAATATTCATGGGATGTGACTACGAAATAGATGGATTTAGATTTTATCAGGTGTTATCCTCAAAAAGAATGAAAAAAAATCATCGCCCCCTGTCCAAAAATAATCTCACATTATCACCCCCCACAAACACATAGGTTATGTAATTGACTTCATTCCAGTATTGGAATAGGTTATACCTTGGTTATCCTGTAATGATATAGCTATTCTCTTACTGGAGTCCCCCGGATATAAAAAAAAAGTTTAGGCACAGCCTTCATCTAAATAACATATATTACACATGAGTTATTCAATCAAATTTTTTCAAAAATAAATAGTTTCCACTGAAAGTAATGTGTGTGGCTTAACTCAAAGTCCCCTAGAAAGTTGGATGTCCCCTAAGAACAATTTTATTTACCACCACTACGATTCCCGGATAAGTTATACCAAGGTAGGTTATACATTGGTTACCCACTTACTAAAACTTCCATGTGTCACACATTGCTGTCTTGAGCTTTCCTCAAAACTAGGTTTTGCATTGGGCTCGACTCCACTGGGTAGGTTATGCTTTGATTAGCCTCCCGATATTCATTTCCTTTAATCTTTCCTTTCTCAAATCAAGAATAAGTTACTCAACCAGATCCATTCCAGTAACGAGCAGATTATCTGGGTTATCTTTTATCTCGCAAGCATCGCAAAATAATATAGGATAACCTATCTCTACAAAGCATATTTTTATAAGGTTCCGGCAATGGGAAGATTATACCTCGGTTATCTTCCAGTAAAAGCCTTAACTAAGCTGGCTAGGTTATAACTTGGTTATTTTTCCGCTTGGGTAAGTTTTGCCTAGGCAATCCCAAGTTTACAAGGGTTGTCTTGTATTAATAGGTAGATTATTTCAGTGCTATTTTCCAGTATTGGGTAGGTTTAAGATTTATCCTACATTAATAGGTGATAATAGGTTATTATACCTTGACTTATTTAATAATTTCCTCAGGTGGGTATTCCTCGAAACAGGGTCTAGTCATGTACTTCACTCTATTAATGAGTAGGTTTCCAGGGTTTCTCGTTTCAATGGGCAGGTTTGCCCGGGTTAATTGGTAGGCTATACCAGAGTCATCACCAAATAATAGAATCAAGTGGGTCTTCGTCAAAATAGTGATATCATGTACTTCACTACAGAAATGGCTGGGTTAAACATTCGTTTCCTCCAGCAATGAGGTTATCATAACTTAAGCGTAGGTTTGATCAGAGTTGACTTCTATTAATGGGCAGGTTATTCCTGGGTTATTTTTCCATCATTGGGTATGTTTTAGGTTTATACTGACGATAGTATGTGATACCTTGGTTTCTCTAATTATAGCCTCACGTGAGTATACCTCGAAACAGTTTCAGTCATGTAATTCACTCGAGTAATGGAGGTTTTCCAGGATTGTCTCGTATTAATGGGTAGGTTTGATTGGGTTATTCTCCATATTGGGTAGGTTTTACCTCGGTTATCTTTCATTAATTGGCAGGTTATCCCAGAGTCATCTTCAAATAATAGCCTCACGTGTGTCTTCGTCAAAATAGTGATGTCATGTACTTCACTTCAGTAATGGCTAGGTTATACCTTGGTTATTCTCCCGCAAAGGGTAGGGTTTGCATGCTAAGCTATGCGTAGGTTTTACAAGGGTTCGCTTCTATTAATGGGCAGCTTATTCCTGGGTTACTTTCCTTCATTGGGAAAATTTAATTTTATCGTACAATAATAATAGGTTATACCTTAGTTTCTCTAATAATAGCCTTAGGCTAATCTTCCTCGAAATAGTGATGCCATGTACTTCACTTCAGTAATGCCTAGGTTATACCTTGGTTATCCTCCCTCAATAGGGGTAGGGCTTGCATGCTAAGTTATGCGTAGGTTTTACCAGGGTTTGCTTCTATTGATGAGCATTTCTGGTTTACGTTCCTTCATTGGAAAAGTTTATCGTACAATAATAATAGGTTATACCTTGGTTTCTCTAATAACAGTCTAAGGGTAGTTTTTTCGAAATAGTGATGTCATGTACGCCACTTCAGTAATGGCTAAGTTTTACCATAGTTATCCTCCCGCAATGGGTAGGTTTTGCGTCCTAAGTTATACGTGTTTTATCAAGGTTTGCTTCTATTAATGGACAGGTTATTTCTGGGTTACTTTCCTGCACTGAGAAGGTTTAAGTTTATCGTACGATAATAATAGGTTATACCGTTGTTTCTCTTGGGACAGGTCATGCAGTTCACTCTAAGCATAAGTAGGTTATGGTAGGGTTATAATCCGGTAATGGATAGGTTGTACGTAGGTTAGGATTTCGGAATGGTTTCCCATCGATAAAAGTCAAGATTATGAATGGTATTTCACGTGCTTTTGCATTGCCAATGATGAAAATAGGCTATCAGCGAGAGGTGAGATAGTCAGTTGTGCTTCAACAAACGAAGATGTCTCTGACAGTGGGCAGAAGGTGACGAACGACTCCTCGTCTTCTCAGAATTGATTGAAAACGGACATCGCAGTTGTTGACAGATTAAGTCGGGACGAGAAAGGCGTGTGGGACGGGGAGCGGAAGGTGAAGGAGAAAGTGAACCGGAACCGTCCTTGAGGGGACGCCGTTGTGCAACGTCCATTGCCCGCTCCCGGAATGCCGACCGGACCCGGCCCCGTGGAAAGTTTGCTACTTTGAGAGGACTGACCAAAGAGATCAGAAATTCAAAAACGAAGGACACAGATCGATCATAATCGGCTAACAGTATCAAATAACTAGAAAGGTTTTTCAAGAGCAGGACGACCGTCTCTATCTCTCTATCGTTAATCTAGAGGCTGGGAAATTGCCAGGCCGAACAGGCACAAGGCGAGCTTTGTCTGACTCGAATTGGCAACGATAAATTTCACGATGAAACCCGTTATGGTAAAATTCTACCAGTTTGGAGAAGGGGATTCCATACGAAACTCGGCTATTACAATTTAACCGACCCAGGGTAAAAACAAACTAGAAATATTTATACAGTGAGAAAATTTGAATGAAACTCTGGTTATTCTGAGGAAACACTGATCAACCGCGCTTATATTGAGGGAAACCCACGTCCAACCGGCTTGTTATGAGAAAGGACCCATGTTCAATCCACCTGTAAAAAACAGAACGCACCCACGTTCAATCAACTTATTCTGAGAGAAATTCATGTGCATCTTACATTTTTTCTAAAACCGCATGATAAACCAAACCCATCGTTAGGAAAAATACTCAGGAAAATCCATGTGCACCTTAGTTATTGTTAGGAAAAACATGTGTATCGCACTTATTCTTGAGGAAAACATATAACATAAATATGTAACTTATTTTGGGCAGACCCATGTGCGCATTACTTATGCTTAAGAAAAACCCATGTACACTCAACTTATTTTTGAATGACCGATGTGTATATTAATTTTTTTTTTAAAGAAAACCCATATACATATTTTGGGAAATCCCATGTGTATGATACCTTTTTTTAAATTAGGAAATCCCAGGTACAAGGGTATGTTATTCAATTAAGATACACATGGGTTTTCCTCAGGATATGTTGGCTTAACTTGGGTTTACCTAAACATAAGTAAGATGCACACGGGTTTTCCACAGGATATTTTGGTCTAACATGGGTTTTATAAACATAAGTTAGATGCACATGGGTTTTCCACAGGATATGTTGGTCTAACATGGGTTTACCTAAACATAAGTAAGATGCACATGGGTTTTCCACAGGATATGTTGGCCTAACTTGGGTTTACCTAAACATAGTAAGATGCACATGGGTTTTCCACAGGATATGTTGACTTAACTTGGGTTTACCTAAACATAAGTAAGATGCACACGGCTTTTCCTCAGGATATGTTGGTCTAACATGGGTTTTATAAACATAAGTTCGATGCACATGGGTTTTCCACAGGATATGTTGGTCTAACATGGCTTTACCTAAACATAAGTAAGNTGGGACAGTTCGGAGACGATGCCAAACCGATTCTCTTCTTGTAGCTACCCCATAGGCCATGATTTGTCTTCAGTCTAAAAATAGTAGAATAGAACTCCTATGACATTCCTTCTGGGCTATCGTCTTCCGAAAACCATGGTTTTTTCTTGAGCTCAGGGAACAGTGACCTGTAATAATTGCCAACATTTGATGCGTTGTATTTTTCTTGCCATAGATTTCTACAAAACTTTTCCAAAAGGTTTTTCCCGTCATTTTTAGGAATTTTATGTCAAGGGTTGGACCTGATGTTGCAGCCTCCTTTGCAAGTGCGTCCACCGTTTCATTTTGCCATAAGCTTGCATGCCCTTTCACCCAACACAATGCTACCCTTTTTCCCATGATTTTTGTCTCAAGCATTTTGAGTTTGAGTTTTGAGTACGAAATGTTTTTCTTGGTAAATTCCATCTCCCGTACATTATCGGTCTTTCCAGTTTGGTAATTTGTTTCTTGGGGATAACTCGTTTGAAACCTACTCATATACGAGAAAACTAGTTCACACGGTAACGTAATATATGTTTTTATGCAGAACTTTCCTCATCTCTCAATTTCTTGTGTCAATCTCCTCGATTCGATGTTATCTTTAGAAAGTCTTATTGCACTAACAATTAAAGTGGGCCCGTAGGAAGTGGTGAGGGTTCAAAGGCATAACGGAATCGTTAGACCGTGGATCTATTTTTCATCCGTTTTACATAACATGAATTAGGGCAAAAAAAAAGCGTTGGATTCAAACAAAAACTGGACGGAAATTAGAAACGATCTTGTTTACGTTTGCTGCTGGACTTTCGACGCTTGGCTGGCCGGGTAAATTATCGCTCTGGCCGAATTACTCCAACATTTCGAAAACAAAATCCGTTTTGGTGGTTTTTGATTTTTTTAAACGTTTTTTTGCTGTTACTATTATTAACAGGCAAGGCATCAAGGACGACACGTCTTTCAGCTGTTTCACAACGGCCGTTTAACCCAGATGACGAACGGCTCTCACCAAATGCGAAATTTGATTTCGAAATTAGCAATAAAAACTACTTGAAAACAAGAAGGCCGAATATAAAGAAAAAATATCGATATTGAATGTAACGGCCTCTGTTTAAAGCTCGCAGGTGTTTAACGGGGACGGGCCAAATGAAGAAGTGTTTTACTGTTTTACTTGGTGATTACCGAAATAAAGAAAGATTTTAATTGGGGATTCTCCTGACGAAGAAGTGTTTTATTTGGGGCTTCCCAAGATGAACAAGTGTTTTAATTGGGAATTCTCCCGAAAGTGTTTTATTTGGGATTGGCCAGGCGAAGAAGTGTTTTCGTGTTTTACTTGGGTGATTCCCGAAATGAAGTAGGGTTTAATTGAGGCATCCCAAGATAAACAAGTGTTTTACCTGGGGATTCTACTGACGAAGAAATATTTTAATTGATGCTTCAAAANTGTTTTCTTGTTTTACTTGGTGATTCCCAAAATGAAGGAGGGTTTTAATTGGGGCGTCCCAAGATGAAAAACTGTTTTATTTGAGGATTCTACTGACGAAGAAGTGTTTTATTTGGGATTGGCCAAGTGAAGCAGTGTTTTTACTGTTTTACTTGTTGCTTCATAAGATAAAGAAGTGTTTTAATTTGGGCTTCATAAGATGAAGAAGTGTTTTATTTGGGATTGCCCAAATGAAGATGTGTTTTACTGTTTGACTTGGTGATTACCTAAATCAAGAAGGGTTTTTAATTGATGCTTCTCAAGATGAAGAAGTGTTTTACTGTTTAACTCGTGATTCCCCATTCGAAAGAGTGTTTAATTGGGGCTTTCCATGATGAGGAAGTGGTTTATCTGGGGATACTCCCGACGAAGAAGTGTTTTATTTGCGATTGGCCAGGTGGAGAAGTGCTTTCGTGGTTTACTTGGTGATTCCCTAAATGCAGAAGGGTTTTAATTGGGGTTTCCCAAGATTAACTAGTGTTTTATTTGGAATTGCCTAGGTGAAGAAGTTTTTTTACTGTCTAGCCCATTTGTAAGTCGAGTTCGAATGCAGGGCCGCTGGATTCGAACCCGGGACCTTTACCTTACTGTGATGAGCCCCGTGTCAAAGACTAAACCTTGCGGCCACCGACGCCCCTTATTGGTTCTTTATAAGATGAAGTGTTTAATTGGTGCTAAAAAAGATTAAACAACATACAACAACTTTATCATTTCTATTAATTTCAATAATTTTACTGTTTTACGTGGGTATTTCTCAGGGTGTTTGAAATTAGTTTTCCGATTTCTATCGGAAAATCGGATTTCTATCCAGACTTTAAAGAATTTTTAATCTAGAAAGCCGTTAAAAGCCGATGAAAATTTAAAATCTATTGTTCAAACAAGAAATTTCTCTTGCAGACGTCAATCGGTTTGTTTTTTTGTGATAGAACACAAGTTGATTAGTCAACGGTGAGGTGTTAACGAAAGAAAGTCCCCCCTTTGCTAAACAGGTTGCTTAATGGCATCATTGTCTATTCAGCACGCCTGGCGCGATTGACTTCAAAACGATATCGTGTCCCAACACGAAGACGAGACAGTATCAAATCGGGACCCGAATACGTATCACATTATAAAATTCAAAATTTGCCCAAATTTTCAACATTGATTTTAACCAGCGTAAGAAGGTTGAGTATTATGCTTTCTCAGAATAATTTGGTCGAATACGAGTCTTTTCTTCGAACAAGTTGGATATGGATAAATTTTCCTTCGAATAAGATAGACACATGGATTCAAGACAATGGATTTTTCCGAGAACAAGTATGATTTAGAGGGGTTTTCCTCTGAATGAGTGGGTGCAAAGAGTATTTTCTATTAAAAAGGTGGATGTAGAAGGCTTTTCTTTTGAATAAGACGTGGGGCAGTATTTTTCTAACATGTTCTTTTTTCCCTCGGAACAAATAGAAAGTATATCAAAGTGAGTGTCAAGCGTAGGGTTTCGAAGGATAAATAAGTACCTAAGATCCCCTCGAAACAAGTTGAATGGGCCTCGGTTTTTCCCGGAATAAATGGGAGGGGATATGTGGTTTGGTTTTCCCAGAATAAATGTTTTGGACATGAGTATTTCCGAGAATAAATGGAAGGACATGGGTTTTCCCTGAATAAATGTGGTGTACATGAGTATTTCCGAGAATAAATAAGAGGTCATGTGGGTTTTCCTCAAAATAAATGTGTTGGGCATGAGTATTTCCGAGAGTAAATGTAGTTTTCCCAGAATAAATGTGGTGTACATGAGTATTCCTGAAATAAATGGGTTGGAACAAGAGTTTTTCCAAAATAATAATATATGCCCCCCAAAATAAATAGGACGAACATGTGCTTTTCCCAGAATATACAAGATGTAGTTTGGTTTTCCAAGAATAAATGTGGTGTACATGAGTATTTCCGAGAATAAATAAGAGGTCATGGGTTTTCCTCAGAATAAGTGTGTTGGGCATGAGTATTTCCGAGAGTAAATGTAGTTTTCCCAGAATAAATGTGGTGTACATGAGTATTCCTGAAATATGGGTTGGAACAAGGGTTTTTCCAAAATAATAATATATGCCCCCCAGAATAAATAGGACGAACATGTGCTTTTCCCAGAGTATACAAGATGTAGATTGGTTTTCCCAGTATAAATTTGGTGTACATGAGTAATTCCTGGAATAAATGTGTTGGTCATGAGTATTTCAGAAAATAAATAAGAGGAAATGTGGTTTTCCCAGAATAAATGTGTTGGACATGAGTATTTCCGAGAATAAACGGGAGGACATGGGTTTTCCCAGAATAAATGTGGTGTACATGAGTATTTCCGAGAATAAATAAGAGGTCATGGGTTTTCCTCAGAATAAGTGTGTTGGGCATGAGTATTTACGAGAGTAAATGTAGTTTTCCCAGAATAAATGTGGTGTACATGAGTATTCCTGAAATAAATGGGTTGGAACAAGGGTTTTTCCAAAATAATAATATGTGCCCCCCAGAATAAAGAGGACGAACATGTGGTTTTCCCAGAATAAATGTGGTGTACATGGGTAATTCCTGGAATAAATATGTTCGTCATGAGTATTTCCGAAAATAAATAAGAGGAAATGTGGTTTTCCCAGAATAAATGTGTTGGATATGAGTATTTCCGAGAATAAATGGGAGGACATGGGTTTTCCCAGAATATATGTGGTGTACATGAGTATTTCCGAGAATAAATGAGAGGACATGAGGTTTTCACAGAATAAATAAGATGTACATCGGTTTTTCCCAAGAATAAATGTGATGTACGTGAATATTCTCCGGAATAAATGGGTTAGAACATGTCCCCCCTCTGAATAAATAAGAGGAACTTGCGGTTTTACCAGAATAGATGATTTGTGCATGGGTTTTCCCAGAATAAATGTGTTGGATATGGGTATTTGCAAGAATAAATGGGAGGACATGTGGTTTTCCCGGAATAAAAGTGTTGTAGATGACTATTTCCCCAAATAAATAGGTTGGAGCATGTCCTCTCCAGAAGAAATAGGAGGAACATGTGGTTTTACCAGAATAGATGTGCTGGACATGACTATTTCTCAGAATAAATGGGTTGGAACTGTTGTTTTCCCAGATTATTCCCCAATTAAACCTCTTCTTTATCTGGCTTATTCCAAGTATATCAGAAAAAACTTCTCCATCTTGGAAAGCCCAATAAAAATACTTCTTCCTCTTGGGAATCCGTAAAAAAGAATAAAACACTACTGCATCCGGGTGATATATAAGGTGTACATAGATTGTACCAGAATAAACGTGGTGAACATGGGTATTGGAGTTGGAACATGTAGTTTTCCCAAAGGGTTTGAACATTGGCTTTAATAAATCAGTTGGAAGTGAGTTGTACCCGGAATAAAACATGCCGAAAAGTTTTGTTTAGTCGACCGGCTTTTCGTCCCAAACTTTAGATGCCCCCTATTTTCAGGTCTTTCAAATAATAAATATTTTTCCTAGACTGTAGGAGGACGGAAAATAATTACAACTGACCCGTCAAGGAAATCCCCTGCGGCAGGACGTCGGGCAGGTGGAGGAGGACGGCGAGAAAGATGAAAGTCGTCCTGGTGCACTTCATGGCTCACTTTTACCGACTGGCGCCCCAACCAGCGTCGAGCCGATTCGTTGTGCAATGCTTTCCTTTCCACCGACACGACCCTCCCCGACCTGAGAAAATTATTATTATTTATTATTATTACTGAGTGTCTTTTTATTTTCTAGCCAAAATCAACTCCTAGTGACACAAGTAAAACAAAATAACACGTAAATAGATAACAAGATTTAACATGATTAATAAGTAAACAAAAAAAGAAGATTTGTCTTGGGTAACTCTTAGGAAAAAAACAGGTTTAATATAATCAGGATAGCTAAATAATCATGTAGGTTTTACAAGGTTATCCGCCAGAAAAAATGCAAATAGTCAGGTTAGATTCCAAATGATAACAGGTAGAAATCAGATTAATAACAAAATAAAATAAGGTTTTACATGGTTATCTACAAAAAATATCTAATGTAAGGTTAGCTACAAGAAAAAAGGGTTCACATAATCAGGTTAAGAAGGTTTTTCAAAAGCAGGTTTAAAACCTTTGGAAAAGAAGGGTTTTAATTCTAAAACTTTACATTGCTTTTTCCTTTTAATGTAAGAAGATTCACATTCAGGCTAATCACAATATAAAAAAAGTTTTAATGTGGTTCTCTAGTAGAAATATAGGTTTCACATAATCAGGTTAGCTAACCGTTAAAAGTAGGTTTTACATGGTTATCCAGTAACAGGTGAGTCAATAGTTAAAATTAAGTTTTACGCGGTTATCCATTACAAAGAAAGGTAATTACGACCAGGTTAGCCAATTGTTGAACGAAGGTTTACATAGCTGTTACGTATTTGAAAAAAGAAGGTTACATATAAGCAGGTTAGTCAAAAAGAAAGACAGATTTCATAAAAGCATTTTATCAATAAATAAAAGTACATTTTGCATGGTTACCGAGTAGCATAAAGAACTTTTCACACAACTAAATTAGTCAATAGGTGAATGTAAGTTTTACGCGGTTATGCATAAGAACGAAAGGTTTCACATAACCAAGTTAGTCACTAGTTAAAAGTAAGTTTTACGCGGTTATCCGTTAGAAAGAAAGGTTTCACATAAACAGGTTAGTCAGTAGTTAAAAGTAGGTTTACATAACTGTTAGTATTTAAAAAACACATGATTTCTCACAATCCGGTTAGGCAATTGTAGAAAATAGGTTTTACATAGTTATCCAGTTGAATTCGGAAGGTTTTTTTAATAATTATCCACCTTAAAATTGAAGGTTACATATAAACAGGTTAAGAAAGAAATCTTCCTAATTTATTAGATGTTATTATAAAGAAATCTTTTCTAGAGTAAAATAAATCGGGTTTTTTGTAGTAGTGAAGAAAGTTTTGTTGCTTAGGACAATCGGTTCTTTCGTCTTTGGGTTCACCTTGATCCTGTAGGACATCATCGTCTTGGCAAGGCAGAATTTCATCTGCTGCAAGGCGAACCTCATCGCTGTAAATTAAATCCAATTTAATTAATATCGTCGACTTTTTAATTGTTTTATTACCTATGCACATCCTTGGCCCTTCGCCGAAAGGGATGAAAGTGCAAGGCTTCTGGAAGACATCGGGTCCGAAACGTTCAGGGTCGAATTTGTCAGGGTCAGGGTAGTACTCAGGGTTGTGATGAATCGATAGGACCGACACAATCAACCTTTCGCCAGGTTTGACGGTAAGACCGTTTGAAAATGCGTACTCCTTCGTACACTTCCTGTAAAGGGCGAGAGTCGGCGGGTACTTCCTCATCGTCTCTTTCAAGCACATGTCCAGGTAGGTCATGTCCTTGACCGAGTCGAAGCTGAGGCTGCCGTGTTCGCGTACTTTCTCGTTTATCTCCTCCCTGGCTCGTTCCTGTATCCCGGGATTTTTGGACAACTCGTAAAAGGCGAGGTCCATGATTGCAGCTGTTGTTTCAAAGCCGGCCGTCAAGAAGACGAAAGACTGAGAGATCACGAGGTCATCTGTCACCTCTAAAAATAAAAAGCTAAAACATTCTGCGGACAAACTGCGAATGTACTATATATTCGATAGATAACCTGGTTGGATAGGTTATAACCTAATTTCCAAGTAAATAACTACATACAACTCATAACCAATAACCACCTACTTGCATAACAAAAACCTACGTAAAACTCCCTCAATAATATAATATGATAACCATATTTTTGAATGCAGCCTCTCTCAATATATAACCAATAAAAACCTACCCTGACAATGAATAACCTGCATAAAACCTCCCTTTATAATTATGTACATATAGAACCAAAAAAACCTACTTTTAAATGAAACGCTTTTAAAAAACTACTTTCAACAAGTAACGAATAAAAACCTACCTTAATAACGAACAACCTTCCACAAACTTTCCCCAATGTATAACCAACTAGAAACCTACTTTGCAAATGAACAACCTACATCTACCTTTATAAACAACGAATAAAACCTTCTTTTTGTATATATTATTTTTGTATAAAACCTCCCTCAATATATTACCAATAAAACTTACTTTAAAAACGAATAACATGCATAAAACCTATGTTATAATTAACCAATAAAAAACCTACTTTTTGAACAAATTATCTGAATCAAGCCACCAATAAAACAAAACTTCGGCAACGAATACCTGTAATAAAGCATTCCACAGAGATTAACCAATAAGAAACCAACAAAAAAGCTATTTTAGAAACAAATAACCTACATAAAACCGCCCTTTATGAATACCGAATAAAAATGTACCTTTTTAAACAAATAACTTATATAAAACCTCCCTCAGTGTATAACAAGTAAACACCTACTTTGGAAAGGAATAACCCACCTAAAACCTGCCTTTATAATTGTATATAACCAATGAAAAAACCTACTTTTTAAACATGTAACCTATATAAAACCTTCCTCAACTTATAAACGATAAAAAATTAATAACTCGAATAAAATTTCACTCAATTCGAACTCGATAAAAATCTACTTAACTAACGCATAACCTGTGTATAACCTCTCTCAATGTTAAACCGACCCAACCAATTTTTATTTTTTACGGAATAACTTTTGATAAAACCTTTCTCTTTTTTTATAGTGAATACCGTATTAATTAGTTTTAGATATTAGAAAATATATATCAGGTGTTACCAAATGAATCTTTTGTGTAATTTTCGTTGATCCTTAAGTATTCATCTCCTGGGTCTTTAGTCGTTATTTCAACGGATCCTTTATCCCTAAGCTGTAGCATGAGGTCGACAAAGTCGTTCCTGGACGTTTTGCTCATCGTCCTGAGTTCAATAGCGTCCTTCACGATGCCAACGAAGTATCGGTACTCGGCTCCGATGTTGTACGACAAGCCGAGCTTTTTAGAAACTTTAGGGAAGTTGGTCGTTATGAAATATTTTAGGATCTGGCTGATGTTAAACCCGACCAGTTTCTTGCCCATTTTTCTGAATTTGGACTCGGGATCGCCCAGGGTGCAAACGTCGAGTCCGAAGGCGAAAGACCCGATCACGTCCATGGCAAAACGTCCCAGGACGTCTTTCAACTCCAAGCATTCCGTTTTCTCTCTGTTTATCGCCTTCATCAAATTATCACCTATGTCCGTCATAAGTCCGTACATGGATTTCAACTTCCCTGTTGTGAATATCGGCGAAAGCTTGTTTCTGTAAGCTCTCCACCTTTACAAAAAACAACATGTGTTTTTCTTTTAAACACAAGCATAAAGAGATTAACTACCTTTTGCCGTTCATGTTGAAAAGGTTAGCATCAAGCGGGTTGGCGGTTTCATCCACGTCAAAACCGTGATCGACGAAATGTTGGAAGTCTTTGATCAAGACTGCCTCGGCCACTTCAGCATCTTTGACGATCAACATCGGTTTGAGGAAGACGTAGAAGCCGATAACCTTCTCCTCCGGGAACATGTCGCCGACCTCTTTCAACCTCTCGCCCTGGGAAGACAGGCGGAGGAAGATCCTCAACATATTTCCTGTAAAAAATCTAAATTAAAGACAGCTAATGATGTATGTCAAGGGTGAACATTGAGCTAACAAACAGCCAACTAACCTCCTTTTAGATAACCTGTGAAAAACCTTCCCCCTACTATAGGTGATCCTGGCAAAAGATCTGATGGTTTGGCTAACTAATAGAAAACCTACTTTTTAGATAGATAACGTGTAAAAAAACCTACCTCTTATTATAGGTTAAGCTGGCTAGAGGTCTGATTTATTAGGTTAACAAACAGAAAACCTCATTTTGAGATAGATAAAAAAAAAACCTACCTCCTATTATAGATTATCCAGGCTAGAGGTCTGACTTTTCAGCTAACCAACAAAAAACCCCCTTTTTTAGATCAATAAAGTCTAAAAACCGACTTCGTTTTACAAGTTACACTGGCTAAAACGTCGGCTATTTTTAGATTACCTAGCAAATAACCTGCCTTTTAAATAGATAACCTTTAGAAACCTAACTCCTCATATAGGGCTTAAAGGTTTGATTTTATAAGTTACCTAATGAATAACCTGCTTTGTAGATAGATAACCTGTAAAAACATTCCTCCTACTAAAGGCTAACCTGGCAACAGGTCTGATCTTTTAGTCTAACATAAGGTTTTTAGATCGATAACATATAAACTTTTCACAACTTAAACTGGCTAATAGGTCTGATGTTTTTACACTACCTCACAAATAACCTGCCTTTTAGATAGAAAACCTTTGAAAACATTCCTCGTCATATAGGGCTTAAGGTTTTGATTTTGTAAGTTACCAAATGAATAACCTGCGTTTTAGATAGATAACCTTTGAAAAATAACTACCTCCTATTATAGGTTTACATGACTGAAAGGGCAGATTTTTTTTAGGTTACCAAATGAATGACCTGTTTTTTAAATAGATAACCTTTGAAAAACCTACTTGTTTTTACAGGTTAAACTGGCTGAAAGGTCTAATGTGTTTTGGCTACTTAATGAATAACCTGCGTTTTTATATAGGTTGACCGGGCAACAAAAGGTCTGATTTTTTAGGCTACCTAATGGATAACCTGCTTTTGAAATAACTAACCTGTAAAAAACCTACCTCTTATTAAAGGTTAAGCTGGAAATGGCCTAATGTTTTTAGACAACATTGAATAATCTATCTTGACGTAGATAACCTAATACAAACTTACCTCTTAAGACCTGGCTAAAATGCATGATTTTTTATCGGTACCTAATGAATAACTTGCCATTTAAATAGATCACCTAGGAGAAACCTACTTTTTATTATAGGTTAACCTTGCAAAAAGACCTATTTTTGGTGGAGTTTAATGAATGATCCGATCCGCCTTTTAGATAGATAACCTATGAAAGAGTTGCGTTTTACATCAAACCAGAATAACCTCCTTTTTAGTTGAAAAACCTATTAACAACCTGCCTGATTCAATTTAATAACGTAAAAACTGATCTTTTCGATAAGATAATAACCGTACGTGAAAAATAAATGAAATACAATCTGAAAAATGTGTTCTAATGACGCATTGAAATTGAAAAAAATAGAAAAAGTGTTGATATTGAAAGACTATTTAAGTATCGAAACGGACGAAGTTATGCTTTACTCGAAATTTTTCCAATGTTTCCTTTCAAAGGGTAACGAAGCCAATTTTTCAATAGGTCCAGAACGAGCGAGAGAAGGTAGATTATAACAGATAATAAAATGAACACACCAAAGATGAGGACGGGTTCTTCGTTCTTCACCCCTCGGTCCTTCCATGTCCTGTAGATCCTCTTGGTCTTGTAGACGGCGTATATTAGCAGGATGGCTGCCACTGCCAGTAGTGTCGCCAGTGCTGGTGACATGACTGGTTTTGACCTTGGTGGGGACAGCGTCCGTCGGAACTAATTAGTCCATTATCTCAATGACGAATGACGTACAGCTCAAGGTTTGGTCGACGGGGGACGAACTTGACCTTAGCAGTCGGCCAATATAACATGATAACGCGCATTGTCAAGTGTGATATAAACATTTCAATTTTTTGGAGATTATAGAAACAGAAATTTAGATAAGAGAAATTGAAACATTTAACGCCCACATTGATTTTCTTGTTTTATTATTATTGGTTCTTTATTACATTCATCAGTTCCTAAATAGTTTATCCCCAACATAAGGGGTGGTTCAAGGGGGAGAGGTTTACACGGTTATCTAATAGAATGAAAAGTTTCAATTAGGTTGGCCAATAGGTAAAAGTAGGTTTTACATGCTTATCCAGTCAAACAGAGAAGGTTACTCCTAACCAGTTTAGGTAAGTAGGATTGCATAGCTGTTCCGTATTAAAAAAAAATAAGAAGGAGGTTTCAAATAAGTTAGTGAATATATAAAAATAGGTTTTTGCATGGTTATCCAGTAAAAAGAAAGGATTCACACAACCAGGTTAACCAATAGTTGAAAACAGGTTTGCACATCTGTTAGGTTAGTCAATAGATAACAGCAAGAAGATTCCATATAATCAGGATAACCGAAATATAAAAGTAGGTTTTTACATGGTTATTCGGTAAAACAAATAAGGTATAACATAACCAAGTTAGGCAATAGTTAGAAGTATATTTTACATGGTTTCCAGTACAACAAAGAAGGTTAATCATAACCAGGTTAGACAGTAGTTGAATGTAGGCTTACACAGCTGTTCGGTTAGTCAATAGATAAAAGTAGGTTTTACAGGGTTTTCAAGTAGAAGGAAAGGTTTCACATAATCAGGATAACAAACATAAAAAGTAGGTTTTACAAGGTTATCTAGTAGAACAGATAGAGGGCTACTCATATAGCCAGGGTAGCCAATAGTTGAAAGTAGGCTTCCATAGATGTTCGGTTAATAAATAGATAAAAGTAGGTTTTACAGGGTTATCAAATAGGCAGAAAGATTCCACATATCAGGATAACCAACATAAAATGTAGGTTTTACATGGTTCTCCAGCGGACAACCAGTACATTTTACGTGGGTACCAACTAGAATTTTTTTTCCACATAACCAGGTTAGCCAAGACGTAAAAGTAAGTTTTATCTACCAGCGTTATCTACCAGAGGAAAATTCACATGATCCCGTTGGTCAATAGTTAAAAGTATTTTTACGTGGTTTTTTACCAAAAAATACAATGTTTCACATATATCGAGTTAGGTAATCGTTAAAAGTAGGTTTTTACATGGTCATCCGGTAAACAAATAAGTTATAACATAACCAGGTTAGTCAATAGTTAAAAATAGGTTTTCATTGATTCCAGTAGAAGAGAGAGGTTTTACAGAGTTATCAAGTAGGAAGATCGATGAGAGGAGAAAAAGCTCGCGAAAACAGAGCGAGGTTATTCGGCCGTTGCAGCTTAAACAGATAACCTGCAAAACCTACACAAAAACCACCTATATTTTGTACAGTTAGGTAACCTGAAAAACCTACTTCTTTACAGTTGGGCAACCTGAAAAACATTTGGTTAGATATATAACCTTTGCAGAATCTCCTTCCATTTTATTACCGTACCTTTTCCTAACCGGTTTATAACCTATGGCCCAGCGAGTCATATTCTAGATCTGTTTTGTCAGGAATTGGGTGAACACAAGCCATACTGGAATGATTTTTATTGGGACAAAAAAATTTATTGATTTATTTAAACTTTCTTTAAATTGAAATATATCGGGTATTTCGGTATCGAAAGAAGAGTTTTCGATTTGAATTGAATCGGTTCAACCGTTTTGATATTCACATCTAGCTCATAGTTCATGAGCACTTTGACGAGGGCGTATTTCACCTGAAGAACGGCGAACCTCATGGCTGTAAAATATAATTTTATTTTAATATTATTATTTTTTAAAAGTTTCGTCGGACTAACTGACCTATGCACATCCTCGGTCCTACGCCGAAAGGCATGAAAGTGCACGGGCCGTGGTCAACATCGGGGGCGAACCTCTCCGGATCGAATTTCAACGGCTCCGGGTAGAGTTTCGGGTCCCTGTGGATCGCGAAGATCGGTACGATGACCCCTTCGCCTTTTCGAACCGTGTATCCGTTCGGGAACGTGAAGTCCTTCGTGCAAGTCCTGAATACACCCGGGCCTGGAGGATAAACCCTCATGGACTCTGGTGGGGAAGACAGAAAAATATAGTCTCTTTGTATGTTTATATGTCTATTACTACCTTTTAGACACATGTCAAGGTAGACCATGTCCTTCAAAGCGTCGAAGTTAATCTTTTTGTGCTTCTCTACAGCGGCTCTTATCTCTCGTCTGGCTTTATCCTGGATTTCCTTGTTCTTAGCAAGCAGGTAGGAGGCGAAGGTGAGACGGGTCGCGATCCCATCGATACCGGCGACAAGGAAAACAAACGCCTGGCCGTACAGCAATTCATCGGTAATTTCTGAAAAAATACACACAAAAAAAACATTCGGCAGGTGGATAACCTATAAATAACATAATTCGTTATAACTGGATAACCTGGCAAAACCTACTCCTGTATAATTGGATATCCTGAAAAAACCCTTCTTTGGTACAGTTGAATAACATGCAAAAACCTCTACTTCTGGGTAGTTAAATAACGTGATTTCTATACAGTTGACCATAGTGGTAAACCATATGTAAAAAGTAGGTTTTGTCAGGTTATCCAACTATACAGAAGTTTTTCGTCGGTTATTTGACTTTTCAGAAAGAGTTTATCAATCTGTGAAGAAGGACATATCAGCAGGTTATCAGAAACAGGCATCGTTTGCAGGTTGTCTAACTGTAGAGGAATAGATTTTACAGACAATCGCAAAAAAAGCAGGTTTGCAGGTTATCCAACTGTATAAAAGTAGGTTTTTTGCAGGTTATCAACATATAATAAAGACTTTTCGCAGGTTATCCAACCGTACAAGAGTAGGTTTCTAAAACGCTACCTGTCTAACCAAAAAGTAGGTTTCTTACTGGTTATCCAATTGTAAGTAAGTAGGTTTTTTGCAAGTAACAATGTATACCTCATCTAACAGCAAAAACCTACTTTTGTACAGTTGGATAACCTGCAAATACATCCTTCTTTACTGATAATATTACAGATGCAATAAAATCTACCTTTGGTTGTTTGAATAACCACCAAAAAACCTACTTCTATATAGTTAGGAAAACTGCAAAACCGCCTACTTCTATGTAGTTAAATAAACTAATTTCTGTACAGTTGGACAATCTGCTAAAACCTACTTTATAAATTGGATAACCAGCAAGAAACGTAATTTTACTTCTCAGATGACCTGAAAAACCTACTTTTGCACAGTTGCTTAACCGGCAAAACCTACAAAAAAATAGTATTAGATAACCTGAAAAAACCTGCTTTTTCACAATTAGGAACCCTAAAAAACTTACTTTTGGTTATATACATAACCTTGCAATTATCTACTTTTGTACAGTTGGATAACCTGCGACATCCTCCATAACATATTGATAACCTGCAAAAACTTGCCTTATTATAGTTGGATAACCTGCAAGAAACCTACATTGGTTAAATAGATAACCTTCAAAAATCTACTTTTGTACTGTTATCTAACCTGAGGAACCTTCAAAAAATCTACTTTTTGTAGAGCTAGAAAACATGAAAAAACTGTTTTTTTTTTTTTTCAATTAAATAACCTACAAAACCTGCTTCTTTCAATGGATAACCCGTAAAAAATCCTTCTTTACTTATTGATAACCTGCAAAAACTTACTACTTTATAATTGAACAACCAGCATGCAACCTAATTTTGGTTAAATAGAAAACCTACTGTAAAAACCTACTTTTGTACAGTTAGATAACCTAAAAAGCACTTCTTTAAAATTGATAGATAGATAACCTGAAGAAAGTTGGATAAACAATCTATTTGATAATATTATTCAACCGCCATTTCTGAAAAACATCGTCCACTTTACGGACCTATCTTTTCTTTTTGGTTTTCTTCAATCATAAGGTAGTCGTCGTTGGGATCTCTAGTCTGTACTTCGAGGTAGCCTTTCCGTTTTAGTTGGAGCATCAGGTCGACAAAATCGTCCCTCTTGACATTGCTCGCCACCCGTTCATCAACCGTCTTCTTGATGATGTCTACAAAGAACCTCTGAACGTCTGCCGGTATGAAGCTGCCGACGTACCTGCTCACTCTGGGGAAGAAAAGGTTCACCATGAACTTCAGATACTGGATCGGTCCCAGGTTGATGATTTTCTTCGATTCCTCTCTGAACCGGCAATCGGGGTTGGTGAGGCTGCCAGGGTCGACCCCGAGGCCGTAAAGTCCGACCGTATCGTTGGCGAAACGTCCCGACACCTCGTTGAGATCCACGGCACGACCTCCGCAGGCATCCAGGGCGTCGACCAGCTTTCCCCCGACATCCGTCATCCTCTCGAACATGTTCTTGAGTCGACCGGTCGTGAAAACGGGAGACAGCTTGTTCCTGACGGCCCTCCACTTCTTCCCTGTCATGTTGAACAGGTTGATGCTGAGTGGGTCGAGGCTGTCCTCCAACTCAAAACCACGGTCCGCGAAGCTGGAGAAGTCCTTGACAAGGACCATCTCAGCCCAAGTGGGCTCCTTCACCATGAGGCAGGGCGAGAGAAAATTGACGAATCCGACCACCGGGGAGTCTGGAAAGGCCTCGAATGCCCTCTGGCACAGGTCGGCCTGGGAACACCGGCCCAGGAGGATGTCTAGGCAGTGGCCGAAGAAAAGGTGGGCCTTCAGCTGTGGGACCGACCGCTCCGTGAAGAAAGAATTGGCCCGCCTCGACACACGGATCAAATAGAGAAAAGCGAAGGCGAAAATCGCCAACAGGGCCGTCAAAACTGGCGACATCTTCAGCAATCTCGATCTGCTCGCTACTAAACGACGATCCGCCGACTGGTCTTAATCGCCCCCTCCATCCGTAATTGCCATCGTCCTTCATCGACAACAACGCAATTATTGAGATAATTCGAGTACCTCCCATTTGTTTTTTCACCTCTCGCAAGAGTAGACAAATATAACTCTCAGACCGGATCTTGCCGGTTACAATTTCAACCCGGTTGATATCCGATAATGAATAATTTTTACTTAAGATGGTATCGTATAGAGTTACAATCGATGAAAATTTGCTTAAATGCCCTTTCGAGTTCTGAAAAGGTTTTATTGCATGTTTTAATGCATATCGGAATGTTAATCATAGTGCAAACCCTCTCGACCCAGGGCAACAACAGTGATGAGGCCGAGTGGGGATTCGGAATGAATTTGGCCTCGCCTCAGGGTCCGTCTTTTCATTCGTTCACTGTCATGTCACCGGTGCTTGTTTCCCTCCTGGCCGTGGTGGCGTCCCTTCTCGCCTATGCCGTCTACAGAACTAAGAAGATCTACAGGACATGGAAGGATCGAGGGGTGAAACACGAGGAACCGGTGACGGTCCTTGGTGAGATCACAGATAACATGGTTTTCACCTTTCGTGCTATGGCGACACATGAAGTGACATTTTGGCCGCCCATTTGGTGAACTTACAACTATCCCACTTCCGTACCAATTATGCCCCTATTCTCATTAAAAAAGGGCACCCAGGAAAAAAACTACCAAAAACCAAGTTTAAAAGATCCATTCTGATTGTATTTAATGTTTGCCATATTAATGTTTAATGTTTTTATACAAATCGATTGATTTTATAACTTATTTTAAATTTTTGTTTTTTAAACCAATTAGTTGGTTGCATTGCAACTATTAGATTTTCATAAAAACTATTTGGACTAATGTTATTCTAACAAAAGTAGATTATTTATTGGTTAACATTGGGGGTTTTAGGTTATATTTCACTTATCCATTGACAAAAATTAGGAAAATCTAGCTATCAGCCTTATATTGTTTATACGTATTTTTAGCGAAAGGTTTTTTTGTGCTAATCGAAGAAATGTATGTGTTGTCCACTGGGAGATGAAGGTTATGTTATGGTAACGTAGCGGAAGTAGTTTGTTGTTATCTTAATTCTTAAGCGAAAAAAAATTAAAATTTACAATTTAATAGTTCGAAATAAAATAAAGTTTAAATTTATAATTTTCAAAGTAAAGAGTGGGTGACATGGTTAAACGAGATGAATTAATTGAAACATGAGGTTATTATAGTAAAAGTAGGATATTTACTGTCGTTCAATTGAAAATAAAAGGTTATGTTATGGTTGCATAGCACAAGTAGTTTGCTGTTCTCTCTAGTGGTAGGTTATCTGATCAAAGAAAGTAGGTTATGTATGGGTTATCCGGCTATAATGTAGTATTCTATATACTCTGTATGGTGGGTTACTTATTGGTTATCTGTAGTGAGCAGAAGTAGGTTATGGAGTGATTATGCAGTGTCAAACAACAGTAAAGGCTAGATTATTGGCGTTGCGCACTTTTTTAGAAAAAGTAAGTTGTTAAAGTGGTTATTAGACAAACAGCAGAGATCGATTATTAATCGGGTATCTCAAAAAAATTCCTACGGTAAACTACAAAGAATAGGTTGCTAGTATAAGCAAGAATTAGTGGAAAAATATGATTATTCTAGGAAAAGTCAGACATACACTAGGAGGGAGGTAGGTTGTGTTATGCTTATTATATTGATTACAAGGTTAATCATTAAGAAAAAGTAGATTACGTATATATGAGTAGAGGGAAATTGGACGAGCTGGGACACTTTTTTGTTTAACTTAACCATCCCTAACCATCCATAACCACCCCACCACCCACTTTCGCAGGGTCCCTTGCACTGTTACAATTTACAAGGCTTTCTTTTATTTTTAAAACACGTAGACAATAATTTAAATAAACGAAACATTGTCTTTCTTCCCATTCAGCCCGAGGTAGACCAAGGAAATTATTTCATCGCCCTGGTTGAAAGCCTCGATGTCTTTTGTCTTTTTTTCAACTGTTTCAATATCACCAGCCTTTGATATTCGTTTAGATAGACGTAGGGAATTTACCTTTAGGAAAGTATATTTAAAACAAGGAACATTTTCCTTCAATGCGTTGACTATAGGTTTATACTTTTGTTTGAAATACTCGTCCATCTCTTCTCTGCTTCTCTTCAACAAATTGCATTTTTGTCTAATTGCTTTTCTCGTTTCAATAATCTCTCGATTGAGCTCTTCAAAAGATGTTGACGACTCCGTGTCTGGACGCTGACTGAGCTCAAATGGAACGTTCATGGTATTATAATGGTGTCGAATCCTCTTCTATACCTTCCATTTTCGATTTCTTTGTCTTTGTCGATCACGATGAAGAAACTTGTCGTCTTTCCAGCAACACGTGCATATCTTCTTGAAAGTCTTCAAATCCATATCCGAGTTGACATGATCGTCGTAGACCCACCCGCCTCAAATTCAGCTCGTCTGGTCGGAAAAGAATGAGGAGATTGGCATTTTCTCTGACTAGATGTTTGGGAATTCTTGTATAACTCTGGCTCAGATAGAAAATGTCGACGCCGTTATGACGCCCCATACAAAAGTACGCTCGCACATTGTCCTGTTTGTCACAGGCAATGTCATCGAAAATGAAAATTGAATCGGGTCGAGAGTCTTTGGGCGGCGGGACGTTTGCGTTGTCGTCAAATTGGAAAACGTAATATCCTCGATGGGTTCCAATACTTGAGCCAATTTTCTATACTTTGGTTGGTGCAACGATTTACAAATAAATAGATATTCAAGAATCTCAAACCTTTGGGATCATAGATCAAACTCAACATAAGATTAGTTTTTCTGCAACTGGATGGTCCGCATATTAGACATCTGATGGAGTCGGGCAATAGTGGACCGTGTCTCGATGCTTTCATCGGAGGATAGCCGTGATCGTCGAGATTTCTAATTCGCAGTGTCGTGTTGCTTCATGGTGGATACTACTCACTACTGACCAATCAGCACACGTTTCCCTTATATACTTGTAAAATTGTTCATGTTTTTCCACGCCATTTAATCACAATGTTAAGACAAATTCGGCGGTACTATGAACTGGGGAGAAAACTGACTATCTCTCTCTCTCTTTCTTAAATTCTATTGAATTTAATTGTAATGTGTTAATTTAAGTATCGTATAATTTTCCAAAGGATGGTAAAAACAATTGCCACTGACGGAGGCGACATGATTGCCAAGGCAACGCCTTCTCTCATTTTTACTTCATTTTTACCTATTTACATATGTACATATTTACATTTTTACAACTTAAATAAATATATACATAAATAAATAAAAACTACAGTAGTGTCAGTATTGCGTACTTCCTTTTTACCTATTTACATATGTACATATTTACATTTTTACAACTTAAATAAATATATACATAAATAAATAAAAACTATGTACAGTAGTGTCAGTACTGCAAGAGAGTTTTTATAGGGGAGAGCAAACATGTCATCCTCTCCCGTCTCGTATCAATCCGAAAACGTACACGTCCGATATGGAATAATGACCATGGGCTAAGGTACGAATCCCGTCGATTTGATGACGTTTATCGTCGTGAGGCGAAAGGGATGTTTTGGTCTGTTCAACGGAAAAGAGTTTGTGACGTTCGAGATGATCGACCGAAACGTGGTCTTAAATTTTTCATCGTGCAGAGCAGAAAGATAGTCTTCGAAGGAGAGCTTTATTTCGACGGCTATCTTTTTGATTCCTTTCGCCTTTTTCGCATCGCGTCCCAAGCGAGTCCGGGTGCCGTATAATACCAGGCCGGGTCCAGTGCGTAAGCTCCAATTCAGACGTCTTTGAAAATTTCAGAGAAGCATGGCCGCAACAACTCAACCGACTTATGGCTAAACTGACTTTTAAGGACAGAACGATATACACCGAATCGTTAGTTGCAGTACATCTGGACTTTTCTTCGTCGAGGATTCGTAACGCGTACATCTTTGCTCGAAGTTCGGCAAATTCGGAGACGGGCACTCCGTTGGCTTCGTCTTTAAATTTCCCCAACACCTTTTTGTTGTCAGTCCTGTGGGCGGGGTGGTCAGTAGGGTAGTCGGAAGGTCGAGTTCGTCCATAAAGTTAGTAATGTCGGAGTAAAAGTCGTCAGTCTTAATATAATAAAGTAAACTGTACGTGTCGGTGTACATGAGACTTAGTCTGTCGGGTCCGTAGAACGGTAACACCGAACCGTAGTGAAATTCATACATCCGGACTTTCGAGAGATCCAAGATGGCCATTCCTACGTAAATAGGTTTGTTCATCTGGATCTGTTCAAAGTCCAGATGTACTGCAACTAACGATTCGGTGTATATCGTTCTGTCCTTAAAAGTCGGTTTAGCTATAAGTCGGTTGAGTTGTTGCGGCCATGCTTCTCTGAAATTTTCAAAGACGTCTGAATTGGAGCTTACGCACTGGACCCGGCCTGGTATTATACGGCACCCGGACTCGCTTGGGACGCGATGCGAAAAAGGCGAAAGGAATCAAAAAGATAGCCGTCGAAATAAAGCTCTCCTTCGAAGACTATCTTTCTGCTCTGCACGATGAAAAATTTAAGACCACGTTTCGGTCGATCATCTCGAACGTCACAAACTCTTTTCCGTTGAACAGACCAAAACATCCCTTTCGCCTCACGACGATAAACGTCATCAAATCGACGGGATTCGTACCTTAGCCCATGGTCATTATTCCATATCGGACGTGTACGTTTTCGGATTGATACGAGACGGGAGAGGATGACATGTTTGCTCTCCCCTATAAAAACTCTCTTGCAGTACTGACACTACTGTACATAGTTTTTATTTATTTATGTATATATTTATTTAAGTTGTAAAAATGTAAATATGTACATATGTAAATAGGTAAAAAGGAAGTACGCAATACTGACACTACTGTAGTTTTTATTTATTTATGTATATATTTATTTAAGTTGTAAAAATGTAAATATGTACATATGTAAATAGGTAAAAATGAAGTA